CTGCCTGGGACTAAAGGAAGTGTATTGTGTGGAATGCAGACCCCCCTGCGGAGGTCTGTGTTTAAAGGAAACTGTATTCAGTAAAGAGTTTTGACTCAGCCTGGTGAGATGCCAGTGTTTTAACCTCCAAGCTATGTGTCGTCTAGTTCTTAGGAGAAAAGGATTGTAACTACGCTACCTGCATTTTACCTACATTTTACCTGCTTCATCCTGTCTACCAGCGGAGATACCGTGGATAATACCACTACTCCGCTACACAAATATATCTACATATATATCTATATCATTATCTGAAACTCTCTGCTCTACTGTATGCTCTTTATTCCCTTTTATGTCCAGAGAATATTCATCTATAATCAACCAGTGGTGTGATGCTGACCTAAAAGCATAAAAGTTCATTCTACTGAGCCAGTTCGTGTACAGGCTCATGTCCATGTGAGTTAACACATCACTAATATACTGGGCAATTAACAGTTTATACCATCTGCACTATATTCTGTGTTTTTATTCCATGTATTTCATCTGATGCCACACTTCCCACATATACCTCAATGGGTAAGTAACGACACACCCAGGCATAAAAGGGGTTAAAAGCTGTTTAGGAGATATTCCCTTCCAGATTCACAGGCAGCTACTCCATACACCAATCTCCCGAACAGGAAACCATACGAATTCTCCAAAATCCCGACCAGGAACCATACGAATGCTTCAAACAGCCGAACAGGAAAAACCAATATAAACGGTTTACACTCCTAGCAGTCAAACTGGAACAGCGTACAATATGATGCCACATATACCTTAATGGTTAAGCAATATCATTTATGTATGGTTCTCTTTTCACCCAGCACTCCAGTCTCATATAGATCTAGGATCGATATATCCCTTAATGGACTAAACTGCTTGGAGTCTTTTTAATTGAATAATTGTATGTCACGAGTGAGAAATCCCCTCCAAAAAAACCCCCAAAACTTCTGTTTCTTTTCCAGGTGTAACCAGTGCTATGGAATTTTGGGAATTCTGGATCGGCTGCATGGGACAGATTTGTTGTTTAGGGAAAGCAAATCATATACAACAGACATAGCTTACTACTCAGCCTAACCCCACTCAATCAAAGCATTCCTGAAACCACCAAATGATCTCAGTAACAGACTGACAGATCTCAGTAACAGATTGACAGACATGACTAGTACTTCTAAACAAGGAATGCGCTGAATCCTGACTTTCTAGGTATAATTGTGTGAACATAAATTATTTAAATCATGGATAATTGATGGCAGAAGGTTACAGTGGGAGTCTTAGAGGAAGACACTTAGTGCTCCTCCAGAGGTCTGCCAAGATTTAATGATTTTTCTGTCCACATCTTACTTGTGGCCACCTGAGCGGTTATATTGAACTGCAACATTGCACGTCTAGCACCCACATAGCACTTACTGGTCCTTCCTGTTTTACTAAAGCAGGTGCAGTTAGAGTTAAGAGTTGCAATGCTAATTTCACACCGATAGTAAATGCCAGTAGAAACAAAATGAATCTCAGTTGTGTCTTGACCACTGCTGGATCAATTACTGAGGATCCATTACAGACATCACTACAAGTCAAAGTGGAATACTGTGTCATGAGATTCTAATAATGCAAAATAAAAGGCATGCTAGAGTAATTTACCAGTCATCCAAAAAAAAAAAAACTAGTATTTCAACAGTAATCTTCCTTTTGGATCACTCCACATCTGCAATAGCCTATTAGAAATAGCCATACATTAATGGAATGTGACTTTTTTTCTTCAAGAATGTGTGTGTGTGTGTGTGTGTGTGTGATGGTCAAAAAATTAGAATATCGTGCAAAAGTTAATTTATTTCAGTAATGCAACGTAAAAGGGGAAACTAATATGAGATAGACACATTACATGTAAAGCAAGATAGTTCAAGCCATGATTTGTCATAAGTGCGATGATTATGGCTTATAGCTCATGAAAACCCCAAATCCACAATCTCAGTAAATTAGAATATTGTAAAAAAATATTCTAGGCTCACAGTGTCCCACTCTAATCAGCTAAGTAAGCCATAACACCTGCAAAAGGTTTCTGAGTCTTTAAATGGTCTCTCAGTCTGGTTCAGAAGGAATCACAATCATAGGGAAGACTGCTGACCTGACAGTTGTGCAGAAAACCATCATTGACACCCTCCATAAGGAGGGAAAGCCTCAAAAGGTAATTGCGAAGGAAGTTCGATGTTCCCAAAGTGCTGTATCAAAGCACATTAATAGAAAGTTATGTGGAAGGGAAAAGTGTGGAAGAAAAAGGTGCACAAGCAGCAGGGATGACCACAGCCTGGAGAGGATTGTCAGGAAAAGGCCAAGTTATGTGGAAGGGAAAAGTGTGGAAGAAAAAGGTGCACAAGCAGCAGGGATGACCACAGCCTGGAGAGGATTGTCAGGAAAAGGCCATTCAAAAGTGTTGGGGACTTTCACAAGGAGTGGACTGAGGCTGGACTCCGTGCATCAAGAGCCACCACACACACAGACGGATCCTGGATGTGGGCTTCAGATGTTGTATTCCTCTTGTCAAGCCGCTCCTGAGCAACAAACGTCAGAAGCATCTTATCTGGGCTAAAGAAAAACAGACCGGGTCTGTTGCTCAGTGGTCCAAAGTTCTCTTTTCTGATGAGCTCAACTTTTGCATCTCATTTGGAAACCAGGGACCCCGGAGGAAGAATGGAGAGGCACACACTGCAAGATGCTTAAGGTCCAGTGTGAAGTTTCCAGTCTGTGTTGATTTGGGGAGCCAAGTCATCTGCTGGTGTTGGTCCACTGTGCTTTATTAAGTCCAGGGTCAACGCAGCAGTCTACAAGGAGATTTTTGGAGAACTTCATGCTTCCTTCCGCAGACCAGCTTTATGGGGATGCTGACTTCATTTTCCAGCAGGACTTGGCACATGCCCACACTCCCAAAAGCACCAAAAGTCTGGTTCAATGACCGTGGGATTACTGTCCTTGACTGGCCAGCAAACTCGCTTGACCTGAACCCCATAGAGAAACTATGGGGCATTGCAAAGAGAAAGATGAGACATGAGACCAGGATGCTTCAATAGCGGCCTTCAGAAGAGCTGAAGGCCGATATTGAAGCATCCTGGTCTTCCATAACACCTCAGCAGTGCCACAGGCTGATAACTTCCATGCCACGCCGCATTGAGGCAGTAATTGCTGCAAAAGGGGCCCAAACCAAGTACTGAGTCCATATGCATGCTTATACTTTTCAGAGGTCCGATATTGTTCTATGTACACTCCTTGTTTTATTGATTGCATGTAATATTCTAATTTACTGAGATCGTGGATTTGGGGTTTTCATGAGCTGTAAGCCATAATCATCGCACTTATGACAAATCATGGCTTGAACTATCTTGCTTTGCATGTAATGCGTCTATCTCATTAGTTTCCCTTTTTACGTAATAAATTAACTTTTGCACAATATTCTAATTTTGAGTAACACACACATATATATTTAAAGATAAAGGTAACTAGTCAACTCTGTATGTATGGACTAAGCATGTGGTTACAGTTAAAGATGCACACAACACATGCAGTTTATCATTTTATTTTCCCTCAATCGAATTGACAAAAACAAACACTAGATGTGCTTATATGCAATGTGTGATGAAGTCCAGCAAGGGCTCAGACTGCTAGTAGCCAGGAAGTGCCTCTTGTGGCAGTCTGCTAGACAGTCACCAGAGGAAATTTTAGTCCGGCAAGGTAATTATTGCAGTTTGTTTAAAACTGCAGTTATTAACATTGCAGGACTAACGGTGGCAGGGACAGTTCACCCAGACCACCTCAATGTGATAAAGTGGCTACAGTATCCCTTTAATGTCTGCTTTATGGGTGCATACACAATGAATTGGATAATGTGTGTTGGATCCTTTTTATTTGTGCTCTATATCATTTGCAATATCTATTTTAGGCTAGTCAGGCACCATCATGTCTTCGATAATCTCATTCTGTCATTCTTAAATGGCCGGTACAAATTTTAAGCTGTAGTAATAAAGTATACAAATGTGTCTTGGGTTTCTCACTATTTCCTAATGTGGATTCAGCTTTGCCTGAAAAAAATACCATAGATACATAAGTGAAAGCTACATGTGACAATTTACTATGCAGAACTGCCCATCTTTATGGATTAAGAAGAGTGGAGAGACAGTTATCTGATGTAACCCTTTAGGGCAGAGGCAATTATCAAAGTTATCAAGTTATGAATGAAAACAAAACCTTTAATGTTTGTTCATACATTCATATTTAGTATTTTTTAAAGGGTAGAAATTGCTCTTAATGTGTATTCCTAACAAAACATGAAGTGTGAATAAAATTTTGAAATTAGGAGAGTTTTTTTTTTTTTTACACATACAGTGCGACTAAAGAAAAAACTCAAAATAGATTTCAGTTTGTTAAAAGCTTCATATGTCTCAGACCCAAATATATTTTTGGCTAACCCAATACCAACTTCCCCTAACATTATACCAACCTAGGCCTATATGCTTAGATTGACGCCAACTATTTACCTAGCCAAACTCCTCTAATATCAGGGGTGGGGTGGGGGAGTGTTCTGTGGCCACTATCTATTGGCTGTTTTTAATATTACAGTATTACAGAGACATTTCCCTGTAATACTGAATCAAGCATGCTTTCCCAGCAGAACACACCATGATTGCTGCTGGCAAACCACATCTATCATGATTTGCAAAAGAGCAGGCAGAGAGACCCTTCAGCAGCTAGACCCAATCTCTTAGCCATGGTGTTCTCCCACTTTCAACGTTCAGCTGTTGAATCGAGTTAACTGTTACTCCACTGAAATAAAGTATAATTGCAATTTGTACATTTCCTGATTACCGACAGCCAAGTAGAAAACTGCTCAATACGTGCAACTAATCAATAGTTACTGGTGTTAATATAAATGCTAACCACATTCCAATAGACTGTTTAAACATAAAAAGAAAAAAACAGATGCAATAGAAAACTTGGTCTTTTAAAGTTTTTATTTTTATACATTTTTTTGTATTAAAAAGAAAAAAGTATAATTACCACAAATTACCAAGAATTGACTAAAGCACGGCTAGAAGCAAATCAAAACGCAGTAAGAATGGATACTCTGAATAATATTAATGTTATAATACAAGCGCTCATTCAAGTATTTTACATTTTTTATTTTTTTTTTAAATATTTTTTTTCTTATGTCCTCTTATGATTTTCGCATAACGGGCAAGATTATGAATATCTGTAGCATTCCATTTTCAGGGGCAGCAGCTTGCACAAACAAAGGTCAAATCACTGGCCTTTGCATGTGTATGATATTTGAGAGTTTGCAAGTGTTTAACAGTAGGTGGAGGAGGCATGGGGCAGGAGGGATCATTAAACCCTAAAACAAGGCTTTGGGGGTAAGTATGTTTTTATGTGGTGACTCCAAGCTGAAACCTAGAAAATACCATAATAAAAACAAAACATATCCCTTCAGTTAAAAAAAAAATCTGAAGTTGTTCTCAAACCAATCCTCAAGAACCACAAGTAATCCAAAATTTAGGAATTACAAAATTCACTTCCACTGGTGATATTGATAAATCCCCGAACATGAGTTATTGTTAAGGATTAGTTTCAGAAGACCTGACTATGCAACCGGTCATCTAAAAGACATTAAAATATGATATGAGCATTTATTTATTTTTTAATTGGGAGAGAAAAATTTTACATGGGGAGGGGCACAAGTATATAATATTTCAAAATCCAAATAAGCAAGACAGTGAGAGCTGTTCAATTCAACTCACTCTGATCGTAAGGAGCAAAAATTTATTGGCTCTCTTCCTCTACATGAGGGAGGATGAAATTAAACTCTAGGCCACGTTACCCATCTTTAAGAAGAAATAAAAATTGTGAGCTACTATACCATGATATACATATATCATTCATATGTATGCAAGATATATATTATATATGTATTTATGCTGTAGCATAAAAATAATTAAAAGTTACCCTTTTCACAGCAAGGAAAAGGGCAAACTAAAGGGTAAATTTATAAGCATATCAGTATGTTGGGGGAAATTTAAAATTTATATTCATACCGGAGCCTCAAGACTCACCCACTACCATTTATGAAAAGCCCACATTACTATGCAAAAAAAAAAAGGGACAGCTTGCATGCTGGTGTTGACCCACCAGCAATGGGGGATATTTAGAACACATGAAGTTGAAAAGAGCAAACAATCTCTTTTTGTAACCAGTTAAGAAATGTTTCACTTAAGGATCCAGCCCTAAATAATTAAATGTATTGGACTCCATGACAAAGCTGAGTAATGAAACCAGTCGTATAAAAGATATTCGAATTGAGCAGCTATTACATGGATCCAAATGCATCAAACCAGCACCTCTGCTTAAAGAGTTAAACTCCGATACAAAAGGATGGATGCAATGCACAAACCCTGCAATTTTGAGGCCAACATTTTTGTCAAAGCACCTACGCTGCTGTAATGAGTACTGCAGCTTGAAAACCGTAAGGCTCTCCCCTGTCCTGGATATTCTTGCAAAATGACCCTGTCACTAGGGTGATTCCCTAGCCACCTGTTGCCCTTCCACCCTATGTGATGTAATGGCAATTCACAATGTAGGCATTGGCAGTATACCTTAATAGAGCGTTATACAGAAATATACAATGATGCACCTTTGCAAACTGCAGCCACTCAAACAGGAGATAGGAGATTAAAACCCCTTTAAAGTTACCATTTTACTGGAGACCCACAGGGATTTTGATCATAAGAGCGTGCATTCAAAAGCTCAACAGACCACACTGTGTGGCAGTGATATGTTGAAACAGACAGTGAAGGTGTTACTCTATGATCCAGGGAGCTTCTCCTTTAATAACGGAGATTTAATCAGTCCCACAAGTCCACAATAACCACAGGGCCCTTTTTTTCTTTCTTTCTTCTTCTAACCTTTGGTGGAATCAAGCCCAGAAGATGCCTTAAAGTGACACAGCAGATGCAATGCAACCAACCATTGGATTGATATATACCTGATCCTTTTAATTCAATCATCGCCCCTTCCCACAAAAAAAAAAAAAATTTGTCTTGTATTCAGTGGCAAACAATTTTGTCAAGACTGAGTAATTATTCCATGGGTTAGCAAAGCTTAGATAGTCTTCTCCCAGAGTAAACGGCACCTACAATTAAATGAGCAGTGTTCAGAGCCACTTTGTTTCATTAGTCTGCAGTTCTTGCTTTTGATTGGTTGCCGCTTTCATCCAAAATGGCAGCTCTCTGCAAGTTTCAAGGTTACAATAAGGCAACTCTTTGTAATCTTTGTTTTTTCCTCATCGCTTAATATAATTTTCAATAAGGGAATAAGAACATAAAGGCAGTCTCTTTTTAAAAGTTTTTTTTTTGTTTTTTTTATGTAGTCCATTGCTATTTAGTTTTTTTGTTTGTTTTTGTAGTTTTCTCTTTCACAGTCTGAAGTAACAACAAAAAACAAAACCCCAAATAAAAATATATATATCTTTGAAAAGAAATAAAATTAACGCAGGGCTCTTTTGAAGCAGTAAGCTGTGGGGCCAGGGGTCTAAAAGACTTTGAAGGGAAACCAGAGGGAAAAGAGACACCCACTGGACAACTGCTAATTTGCCATGTGTATCCTGCAAAAGGAATCATCTGAAGGCCACTTCCCAAGAGGTGGCGTTGTGCCAACTCAGTCAGAAAAGCAATGGCTTCAAAACAGATAGGTTTGAATATTTTCCAAAGAAAGATTAAATGGCCCCTTTTTGCCTTCCAAATTTGTAACAGCAAAGCTCTGCTGTCTGCGTTCAGCAATCTTAGGAGCAGAGTTAAGTTCCACACTCCTTATTTATCCATAAAAGGAGGAGGAAGGGCAGAGAATAATTTAAAAATACAAAAAAAAAAAAATCACTTCCTCCCAATAGGCCATTTCCTCCTGGTTTCTGCTAAAATGAAACTAAAATTTCAATAACCCTAATCAAACTAAGATTATCTTCCTTTCTGGGGTTAGCAGCCGCCACCCTTCACAGAAAGGATATGGGAACAGTCATTCCTCTCCAGAACATGCAGTCTCTGATGTTTGCTGAAATATTTCCTGGTGGAACTTAAGGGGGAGAGGACAGGATCCACTCGGCTGTAAACACTCTACACACACCTCCACCCTTATGTCCAAGAAACGTCCCTGAAGTTCCCTCCCTCAGGTCCCTCTTGACTTTTTCCCAATTCTGCTTTGCTTATTTTCTCCCTCCTGAAGTTTGGGAATCCAATGTGGCAGCAGTGGGATGGTTTTGGGCTCTGGCATCTTCCCGTGTTGGATTATGGGATGAACTCTGGGACTGGTGACCGGATCCTCTACTGGAAGACTGTGATGGATATCTTCGTCGACCTTCTCCTGTTGAATGGCGGCGGCGTGAACCTCCATCATCTCCCATTGGTGGCTGGAAGGGAGGAAATGCGTTATAAATACAAATTTCAAGTCCAGTACCACAGAGATTTGATACACATATGCTTTAAGATACAGAAATACAAATAAATAAATAAAAAAATGCTTTGGTATATAATTAAATTATCAAACAAGAGAAACCACTAGACAGATTAATCTTGTAAACTTCCATCTACAGTGTCACAATACATTAAGTTGTAACCAGGAAAGGAGGAATCAATACTCGTCTAATAAATGAAACCAGGTGCCCTGCTGGACCTGAAGCTGGCAGCGTAGCATATTTATTTTGCGAGTCAGAACATAAACAAATGTTTCGACATCCAACAAGGTCTTTACAAAGCTTTAAACAACCTTGTTGGAGGTCAAAACGTTGCCGTTTATGTTCTGACTTTCCAAATAAATCTGCTACCTTGTACATTGAGTACCTGGATCACATTGGTTTTTACAATACATTTTAGACACACAAAAGTCAGTGAAAATGACAAAAAAAAAATACATTACAGGCATTCCTCACTTACTGACTGGGTTGCGTTCTTACGACCCGGTCATAGAACAAATTGGTCAGTAAGCGAGGAGTTAAGGGATTCCCTGCTCTGTTGCGTTTGTCTATGTTCATGAAAATTTCCATTCTGTGGAGATCACGATATGTCTGAGCATTTGCTGAGGCAGGAGAACCAGGAGAATGTGCAGCCCAAGAAGCACAGTGTCGCCCAGTCCGCAGGGAGGACCGTGCTGGGAGTGCTGCAAGGAAACGAGCAAGCCCAGGTCCTGCCCAAAGTCGCCAAGAGCATGGGACAGCAGCCAGCACAGATACAGAGATCTCGATCCAGGGAGGTAGGAGCAGGGCCTGGTCTAGGGGCAGTCAGCTGGGGCCACGCTGATATGGACTGTATCCGGGGGGTGCTTAGTTCAAAATACAACTCCCATCATTGTCAGGCTTTAATATGCATAACAGCTGGGGTGGGGAGTCCTCCATGCATTGGGATCTATGATCATCTGTTGATGCCCAGCATTGAGACACATGGTGAATACTGTCTGGCTAGGAGTCACATCTGTGGTTGCAAGCCATCCCGCCAATTTAATCTGCCATAGCTATTGATTAGTACTGGTATCTGTGGCATGTCGCCCTCCTTTAGATCAATAATTACTGTGGATAATGTAAATCTTTATCTCTAACAGGTACAGAGATCTCCCTAAACATAGAATAGAGGGGATTCCTTGCTCTGGTGCGCTCGTCTATGGTCGGGGAAATTTCCCCGAACACAGCAGAGCAGGGAATGCCTCTAATCCCCACGACGACTCGCACTTACCAGCCCGCGAGAGAGCTGGTTGTAAGTGCGAGCCGTCGTAAAACCAGTAGGTCGCAAAATGAGTACTACCTGTATAATAAAGGTTTGTTGAGGCTGTGATTAGTCACTTTATGCTATTCTAGAGCACTGAACAGTCAGTTTATAACAATGAAATGTTTGAGTTCCAGCAGTTAACAATGTAACTAAATTGATATATTAGAGGGGGTGAGCTGACAAATACTCAAAAATAAAAAATAAAAAAAACTCTTGAAAGATTGTCAAACATCAAGGAATCAATGTTATTTTTAAAGTCAAACTCGAAATGTGTCCAAATAGGACAGCATCTCTAAGAACACAAAATAAAGCAGAGATGTAATTTGTTTTCACAAACTCAGTTTTCTAAAATAAAGGTTTTAAGATTGTTTATTTTTAATTTTGGGGGTGGGGCAAATAAAATCAATATAATGGCAGTATAATGTTGATTTGAAAATCTTAAATGCAACAAAGAATGGATTACGAGGGGGAGAGACATTCTGAGTTACACATTCGGCATGGCTTGCACTTTTTAAGATACACCATATAAGCCTATGTAGAAGGTAAAGGTTAAACAAAAAAAAAAAAAAAATGTTAGGCTCATACAATTCTGTTTCTATGGGGAAGGACAGAACTTGGGAGTACTAATTTTGTCTGCCTACTAAGGACACAAATTAGTCCTGCGATCAAATTGTTAATGGTCTTGGGTGCATAGTGGCTCTAACCATCTGTATCATATTGTGGCTATGTACTTTATTTTTATATAAATAGCCCTGTCTCGAGATTTTCCCTTTTAGCTGAAAGCAGCAAGGTGAATTGTTAGTGTAGGACTCACACAAAAGGCTTGCCTTGATGAGGCAACGGAGTTTGCAAATATTACAGTGATACTAAAACCTCCTGTTAAATAAATGTGCATAGCGATTTAGGACAGTGCGCAGGTAATTTTTTTTTCCCCTCCTGCCTACTAAAGCACACTGACACATTGGGAGGTAGCTTTCTGGAACAAAGTTCAAAACTTGTACAACTATCATAGAGAGCAATAAAGCACATCTGCTGTTTTGTCTTTAGCTTAAAATCACAAATTGTCTTTTCAAATAACTGACATTTCATACTTACATCCACCCTGAAATCCTCCAGCCTTCGGAACTTGCTCAGATATTCCTGCAATTTAGGATCAATATCCAGGGTTTTGGCTTTGGAATATTTTAGGAAGGCCCAAAATTTCTCCAGTCCATACAGTTGACCTTTAATATTTAAATAATACGTAAGAAAAGAAAAAAAGAAAAAAAAAAAGAAGAAGAGCTTGTTTACAACATCCGTTCACAGCAAGGAGGAGAAAACACAAAAACAAAACAAACTACTAAAGAATGAGACAACCCACTTCATTGGAAGCATGATTTAAAAAAAAATAAGCTACTGGATAAGGAAACCATCATTGGTCCAGGGCACAATGAACAAAATTGCCACAATAAACATAGTTCAAAAGGGAGAATAAAAAAAAATAAAAAAGTAAAAAAAATTCTTATTCTTTTCATATGGCAAAAATAAGAATTTTTTTTTACTTTTTTTTTTTTTTTTTATTCTCCCTTTTGAACTATGTTTATTGTGGCAATTTTGTTCATTGTGCCCTGGACCAATGATGGTTTCCCCCTCTACAGATGTTCATTTAATAAAAAAAGCCAGTCATAAAGGTGGTACAGAACATTAGAGTGCCTATTTTTCTGTAGAATGAAGTCTGAAACATGATGCCTGTCTGCCCATTTGCATGTCAAGTTGGGAACTCTGGGATAGTTGCAACTCCCTTTAAACAGGAGACTCACCGGATTCATAGTCCCTCCTTGTCTCTTCCTGGAAATCCCTGAAAATGTCCACCCGGAACTTCCTCTCTAGACCGTAGCTGTAATATCTGAAAAGGCACTCCAACCCGTACCTACAGAAAAAGACAATCATTTCTTTATTTATGCAATGTGGTAGATAGTGAGTGTACAAAGATACTTTTCACACCAGTGTCCTGTAAACAATCCACCCATGTTATCTTACACAAACCTTTAATGTGTCTGAGTAATTTGGGGTGCATAGCAGCTTAAAAGTTTTTTTTTTTTTTTTTTAACAAGAGGTTAAAACATTATGGGTGCTTATAGATGTTCAGTTTGCAATTCATGCCTGTGCTAGTTAGCACTTCGTATTAAATATGTGCAGCACAACACTGAGGTTAAATCTGACTTCAACGAGGGCAAAGTACCAACCATATGTTAGCTGAGCTTTCAAAAAACATCTATTTAGACATTTGAAATAAATACCAGTCCCAAAATCCAAAACTACAGCAACTTTTGGTCAACGCTCCACTATCAAAACTATGTCAGCAGTCTATCCATTTTCCACATTATGCACTACTAACCTGTAGCCCTCCTTGCCATCTTCCACGGCCAGTTGCTTGAACTCCTCATACATTTTCTTATTGAAATGATCTCTTAGGAAGAATGACCAAAAGCGGAAGAGAGTGTTCATTTCCTGTGACTGGCCGATGCCTAGCCGTTTCCTCTCTGTTAATATAGAGCAAAAAAATAATATCCATGCAGACACCATGACAGAAACTACTTAGCAGGAGTACAATGAAAGCCATTCTGAAAATACTAATGTAAAGCAATTTACCTGGTGGCAATAGCACAAGAAGGAACAGAGTTGTTTAATTCCTAACACACAAGGCAAACATTTAAAGTACCTAATAGATTACAACATTCTACAAAAGATGATTTGGCAAAACTGCCTATTTGTCCCATCTCAAAAAAGGCTACATAAACAGACCACAATACACAGTATTTTCAAGTCAAGGAACAATATACAAGTGAGAGATTACATTAAAGGATCACTATAGGGTCAGGAACACAAACATGTATTTCTGACCCTATAGGGTTAAAACCACCATCTAGCCCCCCTGGGACCCTCATGCCTCCATAAATATAGTAAAAATCTTACTGAATTCAAGCCTGAAGCTGTAAATCTGCATGCTGTTAGACTCAGAAAAACAAGCAGTCTGCTGACATGTGGTAGCCTGATCAAATCACAGTGCTTCCCCATAGGATTGTCTGAGTGACAAAGAGGCAGATCAGGGGCAGAGCCAGCAGGATTCACACACAGCCTTGGCCAATCAGCATCTACTCATAGAGATGAATTGAATCAATGAATCTCTATGAGGAAAGTTCAGTGTCTGAATGCAGTGGGAGGAGATACTGAATCACAGGATGCTGTGCACAGTGCTGCCCTGTGCTCTGATGACAGCAGATCTGAGTGAATGGAGGCATATTATGCCTCCATCAACTCCGAAGTCCCTCTAGTTCACTCTGAGTGACTGCAAATGGAGGTGTTCCTAGCTTTCAATGTAAACACTATATTTTCTCAGAAAATACAGTGTTTACATGAGAAAGGCTGCAGGGAGCTATAGTCCTCACCTGAACAACCTCATTAAGCTGAAGTTGTTCAGGTGACTATAGTGTCCCTTTAATATATTACATTTTATATTCATTTATAAAATGTAAGTCCTATGCCACAAGCAAGGCTATTAAAAGTTTATCACTGCAAGCCTGGAGGGTCTATGTCACAGACGCCAAGGATAGAAACATAGAATGTGACGGCAGATAAGAACCATTTGGCCCATCTAGTCTGCCCAATTTTTTTTTTTTCATTACTCCCTAGCCTTATCTTATAGTTAGGATAGCCTTATGAATATCCCACGCATGCTTAAACTCCTGTAGGATGTACTTTTACTCACCAGGTTAAATTTTCACTTATAGTAAAGCATTTTACAGAACTGGTGCTCACGTGACCCAGTGGAACATATTCTATGCAACTGGCAATTTGTGCTTTTAGGTGCACAGGGAAATAAAGAAGAAGGATAAAATAACGTGAAAACGTTGTGTCTTACCATTAAGGCAACGTCGGCGGTACTTGTGGTAAACATGTTGAGTAAATCCATTCTCCTTCAGTAGTTCATGAGAAGGATGCTGGAACTTTGGCAGAGATTGAGGGGTACATCCAAAATTGCTCAAGGCAGGAGCTCCTTCTGACGGGCTGGCATTGGAGCTGCATGATAGGATAAACATTGTTAGTCCAAAAAAAAATAAAAAAAAAATTATTAAACCACACTTTAGCATTTGATAAGTTACTGAGTACAACCACCATGCTAGGTTATACGGCTCTTGGGATTTAAGTGGAAGTTAAAATGTGAACTGATCAACAAAGAAAATTTAAATAAAAAAAAGAATTGACTTGTTCAAAGTGAAACCCACACAAACCAGCATTCTGTTCATTATTTAGGGTTGCCATACCTCACTGAGGCAGTACGAGGTCTGTGTTCCCTGGAGTCCATCACCCACCCCACATGGCATTCCATGGGAGGATTTGAGCTGTGACGGGTTTTTCTTTTTCTCGGCGTCTGGAATACAAAAGAAAAATAAACAAAAAAAACTTTAGATTGCAAAGGTCTCTGAGGCATAAATGTAACTTGACAAACTAGACATTGTATAGTGAAGTAAATCTACAGTTTCCTTAGACTGATCCATTGTCAATTTATTCTGCAGCAACTAAGGTAATAGATATGGTCAGTCAAAAAAAGCCATGCTGCAGGAAGAGGCTGTTCTCATGAAAATGCTAACTCAGCACCCACGTCAGGAAGACTTCAAAGGATGAATTTAAAGAAACCCGCCACACACGAATCATTGTGCCAGGTGCGCCGTAGCATGCTCTAGAAAAATGCCGTCAAAATATACAGCATGCAAAAGTACATCATCATGCTACAGCATACTATATAAGTAGACCACAGAGGTGACACTTCAACAAAATCAATTTAAGAATTTTGCATTCTATCCATTTTTAAAAGTGGCACAATGATTTGTTTAAATATCAGCAACACCTATAATCCTCTGTTTTCCCATGACTAAATCAAAGGCTTACAATAATGGCACTGTGGCTTTAAAGCCAATAACCCCACATAAGGCACTAAGAATGATATAGTAACCCATTTTCAGTCAGAGTAGCATGATTAGGGGAGATAAAAATTAGAAACCTAACTATACATAGGTCAATCCAAATGTATACATTTTGTTTTCTCAGTTATGAGTTAATGGTTTCTTTGAGAGAAACCTCAAAATTCCTGTCTCCAAAGCCTACCTAGAAGGCTTCCAGGCGAATCCCAGACAGGTGGGTAAAATCCTGAATAAAGATATCATTGGGACTTGACACATACTTTCTTTAATTGTAAGTATAAGGCAGATCACTTACGTGGTGCACTGACTTGGTGCTAGTGTAACAGTGCAATAATCAGTCAAACAGTGCTTCTGTTTCACATTACTCAGAACTCCCACTCTTCCAGCAGTGCAGTCAAGCATTACTTGCTTCAAAAATTCCATAGATACACATGTTTTACTAGTGTGACTTTCACAAATAGAACAGACAGAGGCGGAAGATACCTTGGCATCGATTGTTCGTCCCTCCTTCACCACTGGGTAAAAGCGAGGGGTTACAGTTGGATCTTTCAATCTGGGTGTGCGGGGGGTGCGTGGTGTCCGAGCACTGCGGTAATTTGGAGATTCTGGAACAGTGGTTGGGAGGGAACGGGCAATAGTGGAAGGTTCAGGAGCACCAAATAGCTTGTTAGCTAAAGCATCTGTGGGAACTGTTAATGAAACAGACAATTACAATGAGGTATTTACCGCTAACATTTCGCAGCATTGTACTATATGTAAACAAGACAAGCCATTCATTCTTATTTTTCCATTGTGAAGACTCACTCGGTGCTGCTGCAGTTCCTCCTCTAAGCCAATCCAGTCACTGTCGAAAAGAAGCATTGGGACAAGAAGCTCCATGCACGCATCTTCTCAAAACAGTATAACCAAGTCAAACTATGCATATGAATGTGGAAGCGCATCTAATGGCTGTCAGGAAGAAAGCCACTAGAGGTGCGTTTACCCCTTGCATTCAAAACATTGCTGTATTTACTCCATGCACCCAGGCAATTTCATTGAGATGAAGTGGTCGGGGTGGCTTAAGTGGTTCTTTTAAACAAGGCACAACTAACTACACATTAAAGGATCACTATAGCGTCAGGAACACAAACCTGTATTCCTGACCCTATAGTGTTAAAACCACTATTTAGCCTCCCTGGGCCCCTCATGACTCCATAAATATAGCAAAATCTTACTGTATTCAAGCCTGAAGCTTTAAATCTGCATGCTGTTAGACTCAGAAAAACAAGCAGTCTGCTGACATGTGGTAGCCTGATCCAATCACAGTGCTTCCCCATAGGATTGGCTGAGTGACAAAGAGGCAGATCAGGATGATTCAAACACAGCCTTGGCCAATCGGCATCTCCTCATAGAGATGAATTGAATCAATGAATCTCTATGAGGAAAGTTCAGTGTCTGCATGCAGAGGGAGGAGATATTGAATCACAGGATGCTGTGCACAGTGCTGCCCTGTGCTCTGCTGACAGCGGATCTGAGTGGATGGAGGCATTTTATGCCTCCATCAACTCCGAAGTCCCTCTGGTTCACTCAGAGTGACTGCAACTGGAGGTGTTCCTAGCTTTCAATGTAAACACTGTATTTTTTCAGAAAATACAGTGTTTACATGAGAGAGGCTGCAGGGAGCTATAGTTCTCACCTGAACAACCTCATTAAGCTGAAGTTGTTCAGGTGACTATAGTATCCATTTAACTGTATAACTAATTCAGATATCTCTAATATAAAACACACAAAACAAAAACAAATGCAGAAATATGAAAACAGGGCAAAACTGTAGGGATTTAGTCAAACCACAGGTAGTAATGAGTAACTAAACATCACTTTAAAAAATAAATACATTCTTTCACACTTACCCTGGTGCAGTCTTGGGGGTCCTGGTGGAACCTCTTGGTTGGGGTCCACAGGGGGTTCTGGGGTTAAAGTGACAAACTGCTCACGGCTGATCATATTCACTTTTTTAAAGTTCTCTACCTCAAGCTAAAAAACAAACAAAAACACATTATACTGAGGTTGTACAAAGCATGTGACTTAGGCTTCGCTACAAGTGTCTTGATCTTTCCAAGTATGTCTTGACACAGAAGGTTTTCCCTTCCAATGAAAACACTAGAAATGGAAAAGGCTGAAGCATAACTTGTTTGTTCTTGGTATATGGGTGCACTCTAGGAGTTGCAAGGGGCATTGTGCATTGGCTTGATAATCTTTACAACTGTACCACAATCTTGTAAAAAGTCAAAAAAATAAAATAAATGAATATAACTTTTTAAGCCATACATTTGTTAGGATGGCTATCACAATACAAAGATAAAATAGTAAGCATGTAGTAAATCATTTAAAGGATGATCACAGTGAAGTTAGGGCCCCAATGTAATATTAAATGGACACTTTAGGCAGTATAACAATTTCAGCTCATTGAACTGGTTACAGTGCCAAGAGTGGTCAGTAGTTTGACACTAAATATGGGTTACTGACCACCCACCCCCTGGCCCCTACTGGTCGTACGGCTGTACCAGAAATGGGTACTGTGATTGCCTGAACATAGTCAGCTGACATTCTGTGACAATTACAGCTACTTACTTCAGCTTAGGCCAATGCCTATTCATTGAGGGGAGAATCTACATGTTTTGAGAGAGAGAGGGGAAATTGTGATCTCTCTACCCTCTAAATCTTATGGTTATTCACAGACAGATTTGGGTGAGGGGCTGGAGGTTGATTGGCATATTTCTATACTTCCCGCAGAGATTTAAACTGCTGGTTACAAATGTAAAAAAAAAAAAAAATATATAAAATCAGGATATATATATATATATATATATATATATATATATATATATAAATAAAATTAAATACTAAAGAATATTAAGTTTAACTTTCAATGCCACATTATTGTTTAATCCTCAAAGTGCTTGGGAGTCAAGCAACCCCTGTGTGTGCACACAAAACACAATTCACACTACGCAATGTCACTGTGGCTACCTGGTGAGTTGGATAAAGGACATGGGAGAGGCGGGGCTTAAGGACCCGGAGCTGCTGGTCTCTTTTGAAAGCATGCAGCCGCTGATCCCGATTTAATCTCCTGTTTGATGACAGCAGATATTAACTGTGTAGATACTGTAAAAGTACTCCTGCACTTTCAAACAATATGGAATATAATTGGGGAGATCCATGGTACACGTCTCATGACGAAATTGACACTTGCCAATGGCTAGTTGAATTTTGAGAGGTGCTTTAGGCAAGTATCTTTATAATAATGTACCTAAAGCTCCTTAAATCCGTGGCTAAGCTGGAAAATGCATTGTAAAAAAGAAGCAAACATGTAATACAAAATGTATTTTACAAAGACATGCATAAATGTTACCTTGCGCACAGAAACAGCATATGCAGCTACAATCTTGAGTATAAATTAGTCAGATGCTGGAAATCAACGTTAATATGGTTGGGTAATCTCTTAATAATAATGTATCCAGTGATGATGAGGCACAGCTTTAAAAGGGATGGACAGGAAAGAAAATGGTGCTTCCCACAAGTAACCACTGGAAATATCTCTTCTGCGCTTTATCTATACATTTGGGACTTTTACACTCAGAAGCCACATACTGGGAGCATAGAATTACTTTTAAATCTTGGTGGGTTCTAACTGGAACATGCTAATAACTCAGCTAAAACTACTACATTAGAAAACAGTTTCCAGATATGGTAATGTTTCACCCAAATATGAATCAATAAAAAAAAAAAAAAACAAGAAAGAAAGTTATATCAAAACTTACATAAGAGCATTCTACTCTTCACAAAGAAGTGAAATGGTAATTTGCAATAAATCTGGCAAATCTGTTTGGTCACTTCAAACCTTGGTAAACTTCAAACCTCCTTTGAGGTTGAAAACCCACTGACAAAGGTCATTCCAAAGTAAACTATTCTAAATGGAGGGTGGAGGTTAGGAATCTTATAACTTTCCTGGAAGGTAAGAATAGATAAAAACTAGTGTTACCCGGAAGATAATGTCACATTACCATGCATAGCTCAATTGAACACTCACGGTACACTATTCATAACATGCATATATTTTTGCAGAGCTATACAGCCCCCTGCTGGCCATAAGCTTTTGAGTACAGGCTAGTATACTGCTAAGCAGCAAATATTTCAGATGTTACATATTTCACATGGAGCCAATTTCTATTTTTCAACCATCAGGAACAAGCATTAGGATGTGGGGAAAAAAACTACACCACTTTCATTCTTACCTGAACAGCAATTTCTTTGCAGGATCAAATATATTTCTAATGAGGAAAACACCTTTGCTTTGCCTTAATAATTTATGAGTACATCCAAGAAAGACATAGCAAACAGATCACAGTAGACCAGTGCGTATTAGAGTAACACCATTCACCTCAGATCCACGAAAACAAAATCACTTCTCTGGGACAGCAAGACACAAAAAACAAGTGAACAAGGCAAGCAGAAATGTCCAGGTACAGGAATAAGGAGAGGGTAAATATCCAATATATCAGTCTAAAACGTATGGGGGTATGGAGAATAAAAGTGTGAACACTCCTCACAACCACTGAACAAATCCACACGCCACACTGCACATGCCCCTCAAAATGGGCCCAGAATGTGCCACACAGAAATCACTGTTATATGATCAAAGGACTTTGCTAGGCCCCAAACCAAGCTAAAAGACAAAGCTTGGGAGGGGCTGGCACACGTGAAAGCAGCTGACCGGACATCATAACGTGCACAGGCCAGTGGCCTATACATTCAAATTAAAAGCAAACTACTGACAACCATGTAGCATTTTCTGTAACAAGCCCGGGTGAAATGCCAAATACTGAAAGAGGACAAATAGTTCTAGTATAAGAATATAACTCAGAGCAGGTTTAAAACAAATTACAGCAATTAGCAGTATTCCCCTTAAAAAAGTCAACTAACATGGTGTAAAAATGCACTACTAACATACACCATTTAACTCTGCTCTGTAATGCTTATCTCACACAATAGTGCTTTTAAAATAATTTGCAGACCATGTAAAGTAAATGTTTGCTAAGTCACAAAACCATTGTCTAGCATGTTCTCAACTTTTTTGTAGAGAGCTTCAGAGCATCCAGAGTTAAAACCTATTCAAACTGAGCCCAAGGTCCACAAGATTACATATTCTCTACATTTACACATTAGGAACCCAACACCATATGCAGATTAAATTTATATTTTTAAGACACTCTTTTATAAATTTAAAAAGAACAAAGTGGGTCAGTCTTTTTAGCATGATGAAGATTGGTATTTTACAAACAAATGCAAGACACACATGTCCGCGTCATTTTAAAATGTTAAATGTTCTTGAGACAGTGACTATTTGTATACCCGCTTACCTTGATTTGAGAATATTCTGGCTCAAACGTCTCCGTCCACAGATCCTGCTCATAATAATACAGGCCATCGTTGATCACTTTGGCAAATTCGGAGCTCATCTTGGCGCGAGAGGTGTGATTACCGGTACGGTCTCCTCCCGGATGCTTGCGAAGAGAGGGTGGGGTCTGTGTGACAATAAGGATCTTGTTCACGTCCCTGTCATCAATTTCATAGTCAGAGTCCTCATCTGACCAGTCAGTAAAGGTATTTTTTCGGCCGTCCATCTGCTCCATTTCTTCATCGAACATAAAGTCTAGCTCTTCTGGTTCATCCTGCTCCTTTGGTGCCTTAGGGGGAGTCACGGCTGTAGGTGTAGTTGATTGGATGACCTTCACTTCCTCTGGCTTCTAGAGTTCATAAAACAAGGGATTGCAATCACCAAAAGAGATCCTCCCTAAACTTAAACTTAAATTGGCTTTTTCTCTTTATCAAAATAGGAGTTGAAAGTGTACATAGCTATAAAAATTATCCATACTTCAAGTGACACTTAAAGTCCAAGCAGCATATCTATTAAAGGGAAGCATTAATGTTCTTTGACCACTTTGACCTACTCAGAGTTCATCTTGGCGCAAGATGTCTGACTAAAACTGTGACCAATCCCTATATTACTGCAGAGAGAATGGAATCTGTGTGACAATAAGGATCTTGCTGATCCTGTACAAGATTTTTCATGGCATAAGAATGTCACATGAAGTACAAACTACATTTATATAAGTAGCCTTCCAAAGGAACTACAGCATTAATAAAAAAATTAAAAAAATGGAGAAGAGGGACAGTCAGTTCCTCTTCCTTTCTCATCCTGAATTAGAGGATCAGGATAGTTCAAAGTCTAGTTACACTGTGGTGCCAGCAGAAACTTAAGATTTGCAGCAAGAGAGAATAACTGTTTTTTTTTCCTCTTAACACATCAGAGAAGTTAAAGTAAAAATAAATAATTAGGAAAATTGTTATGGGGAAAACAAAAACCTTATTTTCTTACAGATTTAAAGCATTTCATAGGCTAACATGCCAATTTAAAAAAATGGGGAGAGCGCTAAGCATTGTCACATTTAAGCGGCAACAAACGCATATACTTAGTATTGTGTATCTACATTTAAAAAAAGTAAAATAAAGAGGACACTGATTGGATTCAAGTCATTACCTTTATTCTGGCTGGGGAGGGCCGTGGCCGTTTCTTGACTTCAATCCAAGTTTCAGAATCCAAGTCTGGCAGACTTGCTGAGAGACCTTTGGGCATAGTCTTTAAGTTGCTGACTTCCTCAGATTTTGGCGTCAGATTTGGGCTGGAGGTACGTGGTGATCCAGGTGCAGATTCTGTAAGCATTGAACATAGATGACTTCAAGCAAATGACTTGGCCACAATTAATATGTAAACAAAATCTTAAAATCTCACTGGCTGAGATAGGTCAGTTGATGCTTTCATGAATACTGTTTAATCCTGGTATGAGTTTGTATAATAATCTGGAAATACGAACTAAATCCAGAGGGAATGTGGGTGCCCTACTAAATAAGTGTCAAACTGTTCATAAATGGTTTGAGAAATTACCTGTGGACAACACCTGGGGATTTATAGCACCACAACCACTAGCAGAATTACCTAGAGATTTTCCATTTAACTGTTAGGACCAATTCCCCACCCCTTACCTGTTTCTTTCTGGTATCCTTGCCTGGGCACAAACTCAGGACAGTTAATAAGTTGTGAGAAGTCCGTTGCAGACTGGGGTGGCAGCGGCCATGCATCAGGATCGTCCTTCCGCCTGATCTTCTCATCAATTATCTCCACCACTTTGCTGTCCTTTAATGCCTGAAGAAAATGTATAAACAGCATTAATAACATTGCATTGAACAGGTAATATATTTTATTAATACACTTTATAATATAGCAAAAAGACCCCGCGCCCCAATTTATCGGATTTGGACTATAACTTTAATTCAATGTTTAATGACTGCAATTTTCCTCACAAAGAACATTTATATACAACAACAACAAAATATATCACAATATTAAAAGTTTTCATTGTATTACATCATTTGGCTTTGCCAAAAATATGAAATCAAGACCAAAATATGATGCCTTGATTATGAATCTTAGATATGGCAGAATTTCTCTTTTTGTAAAGAAAAGTTTGTGGTTCTTTTCCTTAAACTGTACAATTGCTAATAATTCTGCTAAAGTAGGCTACCTTCTTGGAAACAAGTTTTCATGCCTCTGTACATCACATCTGTTTTTGAAGTAGATGCCAAAAGATACGACGTGTATATGACACACACCAAAACAACTTATGTACATTATTATTATTGTTGTGTCTTAATTTACAGAATCTAAATTTGATAAGTTTTGGAATTCTAACCTACCTTGACAATCAACCCAATGTCCATGGTAAGAGCTTGAACTCTATGGAAACTAGCAATCAACCCAATGGGCAGAAAGCCTTCCGAATCCATCTTCCCTCGCAGATAGAAGTCCCTCTGAAGGTTGTCAATGCTGAAATAATATTCTCTGCAAAATAATCAAGAAGCAGTATTTTAAAACCCAAAACGTCATTTTCACCTAGCTCTTTTAACACAAGCTAAACCATAATTAAAATTGTCAACATGGAAAACATTCTGCTATATATCTTTAAATGGCTAATTTCTTTTACTGCTCTGTTTGTTAAATAGACCTGACTACCTCTACACCTGTTGAAAAGGGCAAATTAACATTGTTTAGCTTTTCTTTTAAAAGTAATAAAGAATTAAAAGAAAAATCGAAATTTTTAGACATACATTTTAACTGGCCTTAAAGGGACACTAGTCACCCAGACCACTTCAGCTCAATGAAGTGGTCTAGGTGCCAGATTCCCAGGTTTTGACCCAGGTTTAACCCAACCTCTAGTGGCTGTCTTCCTGACAGCCGCTAGAGGTGCTTCTGCGACGCTGGATGTGAAAATCGCACCCAGCGTGCAGAATGTCCAAAGTAAAGCCCGGAGAAATGCTTTCTTATGGACTGTTTGAATGTGCGCGCGGCTCTTGCCGCGCATGCGCATTCCGCTCCACTCAGGAGCTGACGTCGGCGGAGAGGTCACCAGCGCCGAGGGAGCCCGGTGCTGGATAAAAGTAAGGGAGGGGGAACCAAGGATGATAGTGTCTGGAAAACGAGTTTGTTTTCCTGACACTATAGTGATCCTTTAACATGCCAGCTACAGCCTGTATATTTTTTTTTTCGTACAAATGATAGTCTACTAAAGATCCAGCAATATTAGAATTCATTTGAATCTTTTGGTGTTTTTTTTTTTTTGCTGTAGTGTTTACATTGCTTAAATGTAAAAGACATGGGAACAAGTCAGTAACAGTCACTCTTTGCTCCCACTGTAAGAAACTCGTACCAAAACATGTTCTTCATTGGTTTAATTAATAAATGATAATTTTTCAATGTGGCAGCAGCTATTAAGGATATTGGTGTCCATCAGAGCTGATGAGTCAGAGATAAAATAAACATTAAAAAAAAAAAACACTTATTTTTTAAGAGTTATAACTAAAGTTTAGCTAAGTTTTAACAACCCAGTAATCTTCAACAGAAGAGAAGTAATATTTTTGATACCTGGTAGGTTCTAGAATATCTTCCTGCATTTGACCAGCTTTTAGGTGACCTGACAGACATGCTGACCATCTCAGCTCACTTCTGTCTAATCACGCTGCTCTCAGTCTTCTCCTATAGTTTCATCTTGCTCCTGATCACTTCAAGAGATCTTGTAAAGATCTCCTAATGTGTAAAAGAGCCAGATCAAGATCAGTTTAGGAGAAAAAGTCTCAAAAGTCACAGTCTTCCAAACTATATATACAAAATTTAGAAAATATGTTCAGGCAGATTAAGAATTAAAACATCCTTCACTTTTGTACTCCAGAGGACCAATCCTTAAATAGGGGCATGAATTTCAGAAGGTGTGTGAGTAGACACCCAAGACCCATATACATATATGCAGTGCTCTTGCATACATGCTTTATATTAAACTCTGATGAACACAAACGAACCAGATCCAGGATAGTTTGCCACATTGTCCCAGTGCACCATGTTTATACACAAATAATGCGCATTTATCTATAGACATATAAAAGTATATGTTGCATTCATCTCCTAGCGTTCAAACTAATTATTGTGACATCTATTTGTGTGAACTTTGACAAAACATTTGCCAACTCCTTATACAACTTCCCCATGTCAAGGTGAGACAAAACCCCTTAATGTGTTTTCAAAAAGAATAGAATGCTCGGACACGTTTTCACATAGGTTTGAGGTGACTTACATCTGCCTTTTGATGTAATCCTTGAGCAGCTCCTGGTCCACACTGTAAAGCTCTGAACTGCTCATGTTGTCGTAGTAATAAGTTATATTACTAGGGTATTTTGGGCCACGTGACCCATCCGTAACATCAAATTTCCTGTATCCATAAGGATAGTCAAAATGAGCTGTAGAGGGAAAATAAAAAGAATATAAGTTACAGCAAGCTTATTGTTAACAAGAAATTTGCAAACTGGCAGAGCAACAGGATACCAGCTAATTTGATATTCCTGTTTGAAAACAATAAAAAGTTAAGAAACTAATTGATTCAGGTGCCACTAAAAGCACCAATCACAACAAACACATATATGGACAGCTTAGCAAGAGGAAAAATTGTCATGCTTTATGAGGAAGACCCAAAAAATACTGTTTTTTTACTAGTTAGCATGCAAAACCAAAATAGGGGCGGTGCCATACTATAGTAGTTATGGTGCTTGGAATGTTACTTTAAGAATAAAAAAAAAATATATTGGCAAAAAACAAATCAACAGGTGTAACAATCTGCAACAATCTTACAGAAACTGCAGAATAGGTTTACAGTTAACTTCAGATGGACTATTTACAGAGAACTTTGTATTATGTTCCAAAAAGCTTTATTTTATTTAGATTAAAAAGGTCAGACACACCTTTAATCACCAAAGTAACAATAACCTTCATTTCTATTTGTGTTAAAGGCAGATTAAAATACAAAACACTGCCACAATGCAAAGTAAACACAAATTCTTAGATCAAACTACTGACAGCACTTTGCCCCTTTTCAGAAATCAGAGATATAAGCCAGCCTGGGTACAGAAATGTAGCAGCCAGGATTTAAGTGACACAGATTGGAGTGCCCTGAAAATGACAAATTAGCAACTGTGATCATGAAAGATCTGAAACTGTAGGTGACTGCACGATGATAAGCACATCAAATGCATGCACATGGGGCCCTGCTCTCCTCCCAATGGCAGTCAGCTGATAAGATCATATGAGGACACATTTTTCAAAATTGATTTCAAAGTAGACATAAGTGGGGGTAGTTTGGCTAACATTCTATAGACGGGAAAAATAAAAACATGTTTTTAGTGAAACAGTAATTTACTGTTTTTAGCATTTTGTCTTCCACCTCTCCTAATAATCCCCATCCTCTATTGCAGGCTCCTCCATCTTTACGCAACTGTCAAAGAAGCCAGTCTGACAGGAGAAAGATGCTTGATGCGGAAGTGCCAAGTGAAAAGACCCATCGAGGGTTCGGGAGATATAGAAAGCACAACTAAAAAGATTGAGTGAATATGTTGAGTGAATATGTCCCCTAAGTGTGTAGAAAAAGCATCCATTCTCTTCAAAGTGATGCACTGTAAATCAGCTCTAAGTGTTTGTATTAGAAATCATACTCACATCGAGAACCACCTCTACCGCGTCCCCTGCCCCGTCCTCTGCCACGTCCCCTTCCCCTGAAACCACCACGGACTGCTCCTTCACTCTTCACACTGGAAGTGTCATCATAGTCAGGCCAGTCCCGCTCATGTTTATTATCCGGATACCAGGCTGTTAAACAAGTAGAGCAGAGTTTGGCATTAGAAATGCAACCAACAGTGTGTAACCTTTTACAAACAATACCAGGGAAAACCGGTATCACAAATGTATTTTATTTATTTACGTTATATTATACTTTCTACTATCAACATTTCAGGAAGGTATGAAATTAAAGACAAAAATGTATCGAATGTGCCAACGAACTTGAAATACTTAAATTGAAGCACATACCTTTGGGGTCACTGCGGGTAAGTGTATGGCGTTGTTGTTCATTCTGGCGGTTGTTTCGAGAAGCTGTTTTGTCTCTTGGTCCCTCAGGTTTCATTTCAATCTGAAGTGGGACCCATTTGTGTTTGTTACCTGAAGCAGAAGTAGTGGGAATGAAATTTAGCATATATTTCACTGAGCTAATTAGGGTTTCATTTCTATAATATACAGGTTATTGTTGCGATAATGATCTTCGTTATAATATAGCACTAGCCTTTATAATTGCTACTGGACATTTGAGCTAGACGCTCATTTGTTTCATCTTTTTTGAAGATTCTTATATAAAACCATCTCAGCTTTAGGATATTTGTCGGACAGGTGCCTAACATTGCTGGTGACATTTTGAATGTGCAAGTAACCCTCATAAAACATGGCACAATAAAAATAAGCACTCATCCAAAGTGTCTATATTTTTATGTAAAATAGCATACGGTGAGCGCCACGCGCTCATTAGGTTTCCTATATGAAAGCACTGACTCGATGCTTTCCTGTGGGGATTCTTAAAATGCTGGATGTCCTCATGCAAAGCTTGAGGATGACTCCGTGAAACAGCAGGAAGCGCCATTTCTGGCGGTCTTAACACGGCAATGTAAATACTGCAATTTCTCTGAAGCATTGCTGTGCTAAAAGGAAAGGAACACTGTATCAAAACAACTTCAATAAGATGAAGTGGTCTTGGTGCCTGTAATGCCCCTTTATTGTAGACTGTAGTAAAGTTAAAAAGGAAGAGTGCCAATAGGAAGTATGTGCCTTCTGTCTCAATGGTGTAAAGGTGAAATAACTTCCCCCTCAAATATTGTGTTTAAAAATGCGAAAAGATTAGTGGTAGATCTAGCCAATTACAGCTGGAAATGCTTGAGTGGTCTACTTACACATTATTGTCCAACTTATAAGCACCTCCAGGCACTAAGCAAACTTTAGGACATTTTAGCATCTTGAATAGGCTTTATTTTTTTTAAATATTCAAATATGGATAGGTTTTAGCAAAAATAGGTTTTGCAGCATCCTGCCCCATACATACACAACCCAGTCACCAACAGCTGAGATGCAGAGACCAGAAGCCAGCATGACAAGGAGAGGACACTGACACATGCAACAAATATATCTGAGCATTGAAGTACAGATTTTAATGTTTATTCTTCATTATCAGACCTTTCTTTTTATGAGATGATCTCTGCCCATCGTCATCTCCATTCTTCTCTTCACTTGACTCATCCGATTTCACCCTCTGATTCTCCTTCCCGTCTGCACTTTCTTCTTTCATGTCTCTCTTTCCAAAAGCTTTCCGGTTCAACTGTATTTTGGAAGGTGGCTGTAAAGAAAAAAGGTAAAAAGACCAACTGGGTGAGATTCCTGCACCTTATTTGAGTTACAGTTACACACAGAATCAAGACTAAAAGGCATACGTAAAGCAATGCACCAATGCAAAACAGTACAGCTAGCAAAAAGAAGAGATCTCATCGGTTTCAAAATTATAACCAAGAGGAATTATTAGTGAGTGTAATGGACACAAATACATTGGTAGTAAACACAAAAGTTAACAAGGCACACCCAGCACCATAACCACTGCAACATTATGGTACTGGACGTCTGTTGGAGCCAACCCCAAATTCTTTGGAGTGACTTCACAAACAAACAGCAGAGATGTCCCTCTCATCCAATGCATAGCACCACAGTAGCCACTTGCATTTGCAGTACTGGTCTAAACAGCTTGCAGCATTCACAGCCTGTTATAGGGTTGGGCAACTTTGGCTAGATAATAGCGTGGTACCAAAAGACTCTAAGCACAGTCGTTACAGAGGTGCAAGATCACCTTAATTAGCTTTTTATTTCTGCAATTTTAGTTTGATTAAACATTTAACTTAGTATAAAACCAATAACCAAAGAGCTATTCCTTTTGAGTTTATACTTCCAATATTTATATTTAAAACACACTTTTTAAAAAAATCTATAAAGATAGTAAATGCTAAGATCAATAAATACTGATTGGGTCTCCAGGAACACACTGTCAACTACTGATGTAAAAGACCACATAAAAATGTACATTACTCGGATTTCTTTGGGACAACACTTTTATCGAAACCGCTAAAACCTATTTGGGCACTGGCTGAAGTATAGTTAAAGGGACTCTCCAGTGCCAGGAAAACGGATCTGCAGGATCCTGCAGTGCCCCTCTCTCACCCACCCATGTTGCTGAAGGGTTAAAACCCCTTCAGACACTTACCTGAATCCAACGTCGATGTTCCTCTGCACTGGGTCAGGCTCCGCCCACATCCTTACCCGGCTAAATTAGTCGGCAGGGGGGACCTGACGCACGCGCATTAGACCTCCCCATAGGAAAGCATTGTTCAATGCCTTCCTATGATGATTCAGGCGAAGCTGGAGGTCCTCTTGCATAGTGTGAACAAGGAAGTCCCTCTAATGGCTCTCTGATAGACAGCCACTAGAGGAGGACTTAACCTTGCAAGGTAATTATTGCAGTTTATAAAAACTGCAATAATTACACTTGCAGGATTAATGATGGTGGGAGTTGGTACCCAGTGTCCCTTTAACCAGCATGCATTGCTTTATGACCCACAGGAAGTTTAATGGTCAGTCAGTAATTCATGAACACCCCCCCCCAACAGTCATCAAAGGTGATCTAGATTCTAGAGTGCTTAAAATATCGACCTACCGAGCGAGCCAAATCAAGAGGGTGTAAGACATTACTTAGATTACATTTCAGTGCATTCCCCTACTCAGTCTGGAACGATGCATACCCCAAATTCAACAAACATGCAGGGCAGTCATGTGGATGTATTAAGGTCTGCAAACCAAACATAACCAGTTTGTTTTCAAAATGATCCAATGATATTGAAATCATGTGACTGTTCATGCCAAATCTCTTAAGCAAGGTTATGATACTATACAGCATGCAGTCACTACCGCCATGATACGTCAACACCAACACTCCCTGTGTACATGTGAACATAGCACTGCAGCTCGCCAACAAAACAAAAGTTATCAATAGTGTAGCACAAGTGTGATGAAGTACACCCGTTCTGTTATGGTTACGCTATGGCTCCTGCTGACTAGCATTAACCTGAGAATACTTGCTTTTGTTTTAAGTCATTATAATTTATTTATTTTTTTTAAACTAAACCCTTACAAAGCAGTCAGTGAATTACGGACTGTCAAATTAATTTTCAAAATATGTGTTTTGCACCCAATAGCAACACAAACAAACATATTGTATATCTGCACAGGACGTCACATGTGGGGGTGTGTGTGAGTGAGTGTGCTCTAAATGTATGCAGAATGAAACCAAATTGAAAAAAACTATATAACTGCAATCTCTAAATTCTAAATGAGCAAAAAGCAACATGCTCATTTCTAGACTTTGTAACAATGCAGATTGCAGAACCTTGACATTATCTAGAAGCTCTAGCAGTTAACAGATTTCTCCATTGACCTGCTGACCCTGGTTTATGCAGTTGTAAAAGAAATGCATTCTGTATTGCACCCATGGAGCACTAAAAGATAAGATGAGGTGTAATCTGAGGATTAAGATTAAGAAAGGATATTAGGTGCCTTGTGAACAAAGCTTCTCAGACAGTGGTAATACATATAATTAAAACTATAGTAAGAGAGTGAGTGATATTAATGCAATTCAATAACCATACACCCTGATCACATTGTAATCTGTCTATTTGGGGGTGGTTTGAGGAGAAAGTAGTGGAAGAGTGCAGACAGGTTTATAATGATTTCTAACTTTTCAGAAAATCAAATGTATTTTTCCTCTCTTACCTGTGTCCTCAAAGAGCTGGTGAAATCCAAAACCTCCCCATGCCTTGCCAGGCTACTGTGGCCAGGTTCCTAAAAATAAACCCCAAGTAAGGCCTTCAAACTCTGTGAACATTGAGCAGCAAGGAAGCTTTCTGTCCCAGAATAGAGACTGCGGGAGAGAGATCTGCTGGGAGGGGACAGAAAGAGGGGATCCCTAAAAGGAAATCCTGCTACGGGGGAGCTGCTTGTGCTATTCCTGGTGTCACATGGCTACTTCTAAGCTAACAATATACAACACCCCACAAGAGAGCATGCCACCATATTTAAATTAAAGACTAACACTTAAAAGGACAAAGCATATTTTTACATATACAAACACAAATTATAGATTTACATAGCACCAACAATGACAACAGATATAATGAGTGTACTTAAATCCACGTCCCCAGGCCAGATTACTTCTAATAATGTGGAGGCATATCTACTGCAGAAGTCAAACATTCTCAACATTTACCAATGTCTAGATTGCATAATACAGGGCTCAGATTAGCAGGTCATAATAATGTGATCAAAGATGTAGAGCTTTTAGTGTATAGATGCTGTTTTTCTCCATGCAAAACACTGGCATTTCTGAGAAACTATTTTAAAGGTCTTCACATCTGGCATCATCACTTACAGCACAAGAAAGCCTAACACGAACACTGGTTGGATTACCTTATTCACAATGTAGCTTCCACTGGTAAACTGCGTGTGTAATCACAGCAGAAAAGGGGGCAAGAGGGAGACTCTCCATAATAAAGAGGCGTTCACAATTTGATTGAAAGTTTAAAAACAGAAAAGGACGCACACGCTCTTAAAAACATTACACACGTATAATAGATCTCTGGTAAAACACACTCATCCTTTTTGCATACTAATGAATGAAAACCAGTTACTAGTGCCAGTAAGCACAATTCTTCTGGGGTGTTGATGTGTATTTAACAATGCGCTACAGTTTTTGCATACATGCATTCCTCCCTGAGACACATTCATAACAAATTCACATCATCAACCACCTGATAATACATGCATGGGTAAGTTCTATTCTGGGATACTTATCTATTTTGTCAGTAAGTGTTTGCATCTTATAGTGTACCACCATGCAAAACATGAATACATTCTAACATTCCATGAGGAATTACAAATAAAAGCTTAAAATAAATGCATTACTCAACGTTATATTTTGTAAAAAAATTATACAACATAGCAAGCTCCCTCTACAACAGTGACACAGCAACTCCAAACAATAGTTTTAGCATTGGTGGGTTGTCACTGAGGTGTGGTGGATATCCCCCTAAGCATAAGTTGAGCAAATAAAACTAGCATGGGGAACAGTGCGGGGACCACCAAAACGAAAACTATATGAGGAGTTTTTCATTCTCTGTATGCTCTTGCACTCTTGTTTAGGGTTCCAGTAAGGTACAAGGATAATCCACACAGGGACCCTTTTACTCACTGTGCCTAGAGAGGCATCAGTCACACCACACTGTCAAGGTCCACCGAGAGCAAAACAATCGTCCAGTGTTGCCGTATCTCTCATGCAGAGGGAGCAGCCAATATTTGATGAAATGGGATAACTGATATGCAAATGTTTAGGTTCTCTCAAAAATAGCAGTAGTTAAAACTAGACAACTGAGACGGACTTAACAAAGGGAAAGCTATTTGAATGGTCAGAGTCCTCCAGAGTCTGGAGGATATCTATGTGTTTGACAGCAAAAAGAAAGCTATAAACATTTCCACAAGTTTACAGTGCATGATTTTGAATGATTTAAAGAACTTTTGCCACAGAATCCACATATTTGGAAATAAAGCCATATATTAAAAGGGAAATGTCACTAAGCGCATGGTGATTAATACTATACAGAAATCTAAAAGATGGTTTCCGTGCATTTTTTTCTATTAGGAAGATTGAAAATGTGCCTTTAAAAATGTCTCTAACGGTAATCCTAAATTAAATCTGTCTGTGCTTTTCAGAAACCACGTTATAAGTACTGAAATACTTTACCACTTTCAGAAATGCCACTTTATAAAACAGTTTTTCTGTGACTACCTTCACATGAGCAGCCATGGGGAACTATAAAATAAGGACCAGGTTATCATGGCATTGTTTATTAGAAGCCTTTTAACGCCCTCCGTTCATGGCGACTGTTTAGCCTTTTAAAGGACTACTGTCATCAAATGTTAACATTTTGCTTAGAAAAGGATAAAAAAAAAACACACAAAAACAAAAACAAAGAGGATTACATTTGTTAAAACTTAAAGATTTCTTTTTTTTGTGTGAAAGAAAATTTCCCTTTTTTTCTGGCTGAGCAGGCATGCTGGGTCAGACTATTGTTATAAGAAAAAACAGTAGACTGACAACATGGCTACTTAGCGTGAATAAAGTCCATCAATTTGAAGTTAAAATAGCTGAACTGGAAAAAACCTCACTTATGCTTCTAATTTGGCTAGTTTGTTCTTAAATATGAAATACACTTTGAATTCTAACTTTAATGATTAACCCCTAAAGTGATTGGGATGTTGTCTCCAATAAGAGGTATGTTTTCTATTCTTATATATTCAACAGAAATACTTAAAGTAATTTCCCATGAACAGTTCCTATAACGAGCAGTATTTTATTACACAAATGTAAAACACTGTACATTTTGGAGCAGTGTCCCTTTTCACTCTCACAAACGCTTAAAGCAAATAGAAAAAAATATTCACTTGTTTTGAGCTATGGCAATGACATTTGAATCAAAGGCATGGGAATAATGTGTTGCTTATGAATCAAGGGAACGCTTATACTTGTTAATTAAGTTTAAACATTATACTTCTAAAGAAACGATCAGTGATTCAACTAAATTTTCGAGTAGATTATTAAAAAAACAAACATCATAACGCCCCCTTTCTCTACAAATTCTGAACTAAACCTTTACACCTGAAACTACAGAGGCTTTTACTGAAAATGGACAGCAAACTACATTTACACAGTGAAGGGCTTCAAAAATCCAAGGGCCAGGTCACCACAATGAAAGAAAGGCAGAAAGAGGCAGATATGGTCTCTTCAGAATACAGAGGTATTACAACCTGGGTCCAAGATATACCTCTCAACATCCTGGATACCTGAAAGCCAGGAGAGATCAAAACATCTGCCATCCGCTGCATGCCCTCTCTGCTCCCACTGCACTCTAGAACCAATGTTTGATCATCCAGGAGAATGAAGGCCTGGCTGCCTTGGAGGTGTAAGGTATAGGGTGATGAAGAAATATAGTGTATAGGGAATTATGGTGGGTGTGCACCAAGAGAAACTTATGGTGTTGGATCACATTGGGTGAGGAGGGGGGAGATTGGGTGCTAAGTTTTAGCCTGCCTAGGGCCCTATAAAGTAATTCCCTTCCCTGTCCCAGATGGAATCACAACCACCAACGATCAAGCTGAGTGTATGCAGGAGTAAACTCAAAACCCCCAACATTTTAATTTGACTATCCATCAAAAAATTCTAGGGAAACTGGTGATGTCCAGCTATGAAATGTAGCATTAGGTCTATTATATGTATTTATTTATTACTGGTATTTATAACGCGCCAACAGATTCCGCAGCGCTGTGCAATCAGTGGAGGACGTAAAATCTACACAGGTAAATAAGGTAGAAAGGGAGATACGTTATGAGACAAGACAAGCACATTCGGTTTCTGCCCAGTTGGCTTTCTTCTCTACTTAGAAAGTTAACTGTAAGTAATTTTATTTTCAATTCATCACAGCCTGTTGATAAAGTGGAATCCCAACACAATATCAGAGGCTAGCACTGTTGTGATGTGACTATTCAAATAACATACCATTTGTTTAAAAAAAATGATTAGAAAAGGATGTTCTTTGTAGCTTTTCAGTACGGATGAGAATGGGAAGCTTTGTAGTAAAAATTACCCTAATTTTAAATGCATTATAGGTAAACTAAAAAAATTAAAAAGTACAAAATAAATTGTCACTTTAAAGGAGCACGGTCAGGTAGAATCGTTATGAAATATTCATATTGCAAAGGCTTACTTTCAACCCAGTCAAAAGATATACTGAGACAAATTATTGACTACTTTGTCTCTATATATTTCCTATTCCTGACACTTCAAGATGGTGGCAGCTTCGCCCAATGCCTAGAAGTGTCAATCTCCCATTATGGAAATTATGTCTCAAGGGATCATCCATAGACCTCTCTGTTGAACACGCTCATGCAAGACTACAGCAGCAATGTCTGCTCCTTGTAGCTGAAGCGCCGTCCGGAAAAGGATGGCAGCACCTGCGAGGGATAGGTTCAAGTAAGTAGAACTAATGTTTGCCTGCCTACCCCTCCCCTATATCCCAAACAGTGACAGCATCGCTTTTAAGGATCCCAGCCAAATCAGTGATATTAAATGATAGTGGTGCAAAGGCTTACTTTTAATGTTCAACAGCAGATGAAAATCACTTGTTGTGGCCCTTTTATAAATGAATAGATGGCATAACTCCAAAGCTGTCAATCATGCACTTCACTGAGCTACAGATACAGGCTTGTGGTCAAGCCCAGTAAAGTCTCTGATCTGCGAATGTACCAGCATAGCTGCAGACACAAGAAGTTCCTTTAATTTAACCAAAGTACATCACTAGTGTGTATGATGGCTGTTACACATGGGGAATCATTTGTCATCTGAACATTATAGCAAGGTCCCACTAATGAGACATTTCAGCACCTTACCTGGACACTCTTGTGGGCAATTTCCCCAGGGGTAGGCCAATTGGTGGCATCACCAAAATCCCCAACCTATAAAAATGGGCAGAGAAGTGAATGAAAAATATACCTGAAGTACTAGATAATATAAATGTAATGAAAACTAAATTAGGTAAAATTACTAATAAAAAGAATAAAAAATTAAAAATAAAGATTTCAAACTGTATATTTATTTCTGAGTCCAATTCAGGGAAGTTATATTAAGAAGTCATTTATGCAATCTTTGATCATGTAGAGATGAAACCAGGAGATCTCTGCCTCTAGTGTGTCACAAATGTCTTCCCTACTCCCTTTTGCAAGTCCACGCTATTAAAACAGAGGTCTCTGAATAAGAAAATATATTTCTTCAGCTTGAATCTGTCAGATTCAGCAAGAAACCGCAAAATTTGCTTCTAATGATTTCGTTGTGTAATCCACGCCAAAATTAAAATCTGCATTCAACCTTTAAGGTTTACATTACATGGCCATTACACGGCCGCCAAGTGTATTTGTCTTTTTCTCTAAAGTATGTATGTGTCTTACCCTAAAGTATGCATGCATGGCTCATATGCACCAGTAGGGAAATGCATTAAACAAAGCACCCCTTCTTTGATACTTAATTGATTTCCCTTCTGCAGCATATGGCATACATTCTAAGCGGCATAAATATTTATGCACTGCGTATAAGCATGAAGACAATGTGAGTTCAAGAAAACATGGTGGATCTGGCTAACCTTTACTGACTGAAATAGTAGTCTGCTCAAAAGCCATAGATTTAATTAAAGGGACACTACAGTCATTAAATCAACTTTAGCTTAAAGGGACACTACAGGCACCCAGACAACCTCAGCTCATTGAAGTGGTCTGGGTGCACGGTTCCAAGTCCCTTAACCCTGCAAAACTAATTATTGCAGTTTTAAGAAACTGCAATAATTAGCTTGGTGGGTTTACTCTCTCTCTCTAGTGGCTGTCTATCATTAGGCGACTTTTGGTCGCCCGACGTCCTCACGCTATGCATGAAGATGTCCAGCATCGCCCAAAGCCCCCACAGGAAAGCATTGTAGAATGCTTTCCTATGGGGAAATCCTAATGCGAGCGCAACCATTGCTGTGTATTAGGTCTTCCCTGCCAGATGACGTTGTCCTAAAAACACTTCCTGTAAAGAGAGATCATATGTTTCAACTTCCTTTATTGCACCTTCTGCTGAATTTAGTATTTCTTATCTCCTGCTCTTTTAATAGTAATATAGACCATGCTGAAGCCGTGTGTGTGTGTAATTTACAGAGCAGGGGATATAAACTTCTAAAGTAAGTTAACATCTATTTAAAAAAAATTCTCCCATGCAGGCGGTGTCAGAGCCAGGAGAGTTGTGGCTAGGGCTGCATAAACCAAAACACATGTGATTTATCTCCTAAATGGCAGAGAATTGAGCAGTGAGACTGCAGGGTCATGATCTATACACAAAAACGGCTTCATTAAGCTTAATTTGTTTTGGTACCGACAGTGTCCCTTTAAGTGAAGGATACCATGCTACATCACCATATATGTTATTTATTAAATTGAGAATGTCCAGTATTGCAAATGTGTATAATGCAGCATTACATATTGCTTTAGCATGAGCTACAACAGGACAAAAGTAAAGTACCTTGCTGCCCCTTCTCGTCCTCGGAAGCCCAGCTTTTACGACTTTGGCAGGAACTGGTGTCTCTGTAAAGAGAAATGTAGATGTTAAAAAACGAATAAAAAAATAAAAAAAATAATATTATTATTATTATTATTATTAAGAAGAAGAAGAAGAAAAATTGTATACCATACAACACAGCTTGCTATGAGCATGACCATTCTTGGGACCATAATGGGTGCTTCAACAGGGAGGTGTACAATATAAATCAAAATATTGTCGTGGCTAACTACCATCCAACCTAGGACCAACAGTATCCAACCAAAACTAAAAGCAACAAAAACAACTTGCTTGATCTAGTTATTATATTAAGGGAGTCAATGTATGCACAGAACTTGTTTTTTTTTTTTTTTAACCCCTTAAGGACACATGACATGTGTGACATGTCATGATTCCCTTTTATTTCAGAAGTTTGGTCCTTAAGGGGTTAAACTGAGCTGTCCCACTAAAAAGCCCATAATGGTGTGCATAACCCAGCAACTTCCCTCCACACATAGGAAGAAAGTAAACAATGAAGGGGGAGGATTGCAATTGTTCTAAAAACTGCAAGCATAAACCACAGCCTAAGGAGAGATGAAGTTTCCCTTAAACTGATTTGAGGTTTGAAAATGTATTCACTAAACAGTGACGTTTTTGAAAACAGGAATACATGAGAATACAATAGCCTAGCTGTAAACATCACTAGGTATTCTATTTTCTACCTTTGATATGGAAAAAAACTTCACCACAAATTGTTGTTTAGTGAATAAACCCATTTGTATCTTTTTTTTTATTATTTTAGAATATACAAGGATACATCTTGTATTAGGATTATTTTACTCTTTCTAAAAACCATGATAGAACAATTATCCAGCCCTGATTACAATGTTTTTTTCTCTTGACATTTAGGTTAAATGTTTACAAACTGCAGATTCCCAATTACCATTAACATTTTGCCCAAAAAGAACATCAACAGACTGTTCGTAAGGGCACCAGGTTGAACATATTGAACAATAAAACAAATTCTGCAATTTCTAACTTCTGACACATTTTATAACAACTTCTGTCACAATCCCTGGTTAATAGCAATTAGAATAATGCCTGTACAATATTTAGCTGGCTTCTATATTCAACATAAATACATACATTTAGAGGACAACATACACAAACAAGATATATTTAAGTACCCCAAAAAAGGAAATGTAGACAAATCAGAAGCACTTCAAAAACCAAAATGCTACATAAAACCATATATTCTGTTCATTATCTCTATTTTATGCCAGTGCACCTCTTCATTCATGCAAGCTCAGCTGCAGGAGGAGCAAAACAGTCAAGCGATGTGTAATAAAGTTTCCTTCACTGAAACATATGGGACATGTTCATAGCATGACGTGGCTAGGAAAAAATCCACAGCTTCTGTCAGTGCTGGGGAGGCGTGTCTGCAGCTCACATGGTTAGAGTGCACATTCACATGAGCGAGAAGGACAGGCAGCGAGTGTGCTGCAAGGAGAGAATTGTGGACTACTGTTATAAAACGGATTTGACCCCGTAGATGACAGAGGGAAGAGCAAGAAATTGCCAGTCTTACTGGCACTCAAGAGATGAAAGATCACATGACCTCTGCTAGAATTAAGACACAGAATTACAATTTTTCATTTACATAAGCCAACAATCTGACTTGAAATACATGTAAATATAAACCATGTGATGACACACACACACAGAACTTGTGACAGCACTCTCAATCGGTGTCCTGAGGCTATACAGGCCACGGATTGTGGATTATCAGGAAACAGGACTTTACACAAAGTCCTAAGAGTGATCCCACTACATCCCATTTTCATTCATTTGTATCTAGTAACCGTGTATATATGATGACTGGAGAGAAAAAAAAATTCTATCATTGTTTAACCCATTATAAAGATATTGATGAATAGATTAATTGAAAACTATAGTGCTAGGAAAACAAAGTTGTTTTACTAGCACTATATCTCCCACCTCCCTCCCCCATTGTGCATAAGGGGAATAAAAAAAGAGACACCTTTATCACTCATCCGATTCCAGCACTGATGTCCCTTGACACTGGTTAAGGCTCCAACTCCGCCGACTGCATGGAGTGCCTTGCTCACATTAGGACCGCCCCATGGGAAATCTTTGTACTTTCCTATAGGGTTCGGTGTGACACTAGATGTCCTCATGCAAACTGTAAGGAAGTCCAGTGTCACGTGACCAAGAGACATGCACTAAAGGTGGCGTTAACCCTCTAAGACAATTATTGCAGTTTATCAAAAACTGCAATAATTACAATTGCAGAGCTAAGGGCCTGGGACACTGCTCCAAAACTACTTCAATGAGCTGAAATGGTCTGGGTGCCTACATTTAAAGGGGACCAGTTGAATTAAGAGGTTTTAAAAGGCATCTGAAGTCAATGCAACTCAGTTGCAGTCACAGCTTAACTCTTTTAGCCTACATTTTTCAATTTGGCTTTTAAAGGGACACCATGCTGTCCAAATACAAAACAAAAATCACAGCTTAGTAAAAATACCCCAAACGAAAACTGGCATGCATTTCAGTAGGCATTTTAGATATGTAGGTTTATCTAAAATAAGCTTGCAAATGCTGCAGTTCTCTTGTATTAAGACTTTGCAAGCCATCCCTTTCAAACTCCGCCCAGACTTTCTGTTACTGTCCAATCGCAGACTTCCCAATACAGCTCAATGAGAAGTCTATGTAAGGCAGGTGCTCTGGGCTATTGCTGCGCCTTGCGTTTAGCTCCACTGAGCTAACCAAACCTGGAAGTAAAATGACTTGTTTGAAAGCCAGAGGGTTGTAACAATGTTAATTTATAAAAGTGACAATTGCAATTAAAATCTGCACTTTTTTCAAAATGAAAATAAATAAATGGGACACACTCATCACACAAAGCTTCTCAACAACTATGGTGTTAAGGGTCTGGTATGTCACTTTAATTCACTAAAAGGTTTGAGCTTAGCGAATAAACTCCACTGAATCCAATATACAAACATCCGAATCATTTTAAGGCAAGTCACAGAAATCAAGGAAGACGTGTCTTTCAAATATTGGATGCAAGCAACACCACCAAATCTGCCATGAGGAGAAGGAAACTATTTTAATACACATGGAAAAAAATACAACTGTGGAGCAAGAACAGAGTGACCCTGAAAAGCAACACCTGAGTCAATAACGTGCTTCAAAACGGTTATATAAATAAAAATAAATAAATAAAAAAGCAAAGTATTCATTGTAGGCCTAATCTAAAACAAAAACAAGATAAATGATATATTCTGATAAATAATGCAATGATCCAGAAAACGCTCATTTACCTATCCTAAAACTTAACACCAACTTTCTAAAAAACTGTTACAGGCCTATTTAATTATTAACCCAGGCTACTAGCAAAGCTTTAAAGTGTAGATATCACAGTGCACACAAACGTTTGCATTAAAGGGACAAGCTAGGCACCAAAACCACTACAATTTAAAATAAAATTTTTTAGAAGCGTACCACAGCAAGGGTTAAATGTTCAGCACTCGATTGGGTGCTATATAGAAGAATCCTACTTCCAATATTATAATATACCATAGCACTTCATCTATTGGAAAATATATATTATTTTCAAAATAAGGTACATATTGAGATGTATATAATACAATACATTATGTGGCATAAGAAATATCAAACAAAATAATTGACAACAAATCTGCATAATCCAAATGACTTGACATGCAGAAAATTCAATGCTTTTTAAAAAGAAGCAATAAACTGGTAGATTGTGCCAACTGCTGTACATGTGCTCTCAATGCTTTTCTATTAGAAGCATCTGACTACACAAAAGTCATCAGGATTGAAGGAGAAGGTTCAGTTGCAAGCAAAGCGACTGTACTGGAATAAAGGCCAGTTTAAAAAAATTCAAGAGATAAAACACAAAAGGGAGGCCAGTAATCAAATACAGGGACATGTGAATATTGCAGTAAATCACAAGAGCGGGCCCCTCAACTCATGTGTCAATGATATTTAGCATATCAACAGGAGAGGCCTGAGAACCCTCCTGCATACAGTTCCTAGGGAGTCCTCCATACTCTATGGTTTCTAAAATACCAGATTAAGAAAACCATACCGTAATAAAACAAACCACAAAAAAAAAAAAAAGGTTCAGTCCAAGCAGGAATTATTTCCCCCCCGATATAGATATGGAAGAAATTAAAGCTTCTGCATGTGTAGGATCTGTGGACCCTTTTTACTGCGAGGTTCCAGTGCATTCTTTGCCAAGCACAAAGTTCAGGACTCAAAGGTTATACCATAATAACTATTTTTATGTCCTCTGAGGGCAGATTAGAGAGCCATTTTTACAGAGTATTATGGGCAATTTTCCACAAGGTAACTACTACCCAGTGGGGAACAGCAGTACCTGTCTTTGGCATGGGAGGAATTCAAATGCTTACTTATGTCCAGTAATGACTGCACATAGCATATTTGCATCTTCATGCAGTAAGCACATTAATCTCTGTTATACATAGAAGTGAAATAAAAACCCTATATATAGTATCTACTCATACAAAACAGTATACACATTTGTACACTTTCAACCATACATTGACTGCTGCAGTCTGGTAGAAAGACAGTGGATTCTTAGAAATGTGAACCAAACATTTAAAACAATATGCATACCACTGCCTTTTAAATAACTGGGATTAATTGGTAGATTAGAATGGAAGTTATGCATAATGAGTAAATATAGGGCAAAATTCTAGAAAAGGAACAATCATCGGTTTCATCCAACTTGTTCACATGGTGACCCCACCCTTTAAACATTGACTTAAAATTGCACTTCTACAACCACCACCAAATGGTTTATAAAAAAAAACTTGTTTAGAGGGACTATACAAGCATCGAAACGATAAACATTAGCTTTATGCAGCAGTTTTAGTGTATCGCTCAGGGTCAGGCAACTTTTGGCTCTCCAGATTTTGCCGACTACATCTCCCCATGATGCTTTCCCAGTATTATGGCTGTACGAGTATTATGTTAGATGTAGTCCAAAACATCTGCAGTGCCAAGCCTGCCTGTAGATCATGCCCATGTAGGAGTTAAAACACTTGTTTCTGCAGCCCTAGCCAAACCTCCCATGGCCGTGACTCATGCAGCCTGCATTTAAAAATGCTTTCATTGTCAATTAGATGTTAACTTGCTTAGAAGTTTTATTTTCTGCTCTGTGAATTGAACTTTAATGACACAGGAGATAAAACAAATTCTAAATTAAATAGAATGTGCAATAAAAGAAGTTTAACCCCTTAAGGACCAAAGTTCTGGAATAAAAGGGAATCATGACATGTCACACGTCATGTGTCCTTAAGGGATTAAACATTTTTTTATATATACATATATATCTCTTTACAGGAAGTGTTTAGGAAAACAGTACAAGTTACACATGCAGGCAGGTGTGACTAGGACTGCATTCACAAAGTGATTTAACTCCTAAATGGCAGAGAACTGAGCAGTGAGACTGCAAGCGAATTATCTATACACCAAAACTGCTTTATTAAGCTAAATTATTTTGGTGACTATGGTGTCCTTTTAAAGATAAAAAAAAAAAAATAAAACAGAAGCCAAAAAAAAATGTTTGTAGCAGGCTGAGCAAACGAGCATGTGTGGAATATATGCAAATAAAGGGTGCCAGATGAATTGAATGCGAGCCTTGGCAGGCAAAGTCATGGCACGAGAGAGAGCATCTATTAATTGCTGCATTTAGCTCCTCTTGACGACCTGTGCTATTTAGAAGAAACAACTTGTCCCATAGGAATAAAAGGAAAAAAAAATAAACGAAAAAAAACACCTTAATATGCCAAACTGATCACACACACAGACTAGGCTTGGTTTCTACATTTTCTTTATAATTATTGACTGATATTTTGCAGTTAATCCGTGCCTTGATACACAGGCATGAAGGACTGTGGGGGTTCTATGATTTGCTCAATACAGACACAGTGACCATGTGCTCACTTGACAGAAACCCTTAGAGGAGTAATGAATGCCTACATGTGAGTGCTTTGTGGTCAGTTTACCAAATCATTTAAACAATTTTGGAGAATTTGTACAGAAAGCAAAATCTGGGCCAAACTTCCAGCTGTAGAATATACATCATTTCCAATAGTTAGTGCCGCTCTTTAAATATAAGAGAATACCCAAAATAAGCTAAGCCAGACACTAAATGAAGATACATGACATGTATACATGCAAACTGTGGAGGTTTTTAAAGTACTGTAATTGTGGAGTCTTTTTTACGTGTCCTTTACTATATAGAGTTTCCCAGCACTAAGACAGTGGTAATACATTGAAAATGTTTAAATAGGCATTGGACAATAGCAAACAAACTATAGGAACGCAAGAACATGCCAATAGTGAAATAAATCACTTAGAAAATCTAGAATGTGTTCATTTCGATGTATTTGGAAGAATTAGTGGGCATTTAAATGGCACTCTGAAGGGGAGATTGCCGTCACCACATGATTGGCATGGCTCCCAATTGGATTATTGAATGCCCTCTGCTGAAGCATTTCTAGTCAGCTGTAAAGCGATTAACTCTTTGCATTCCTATTTTCTTAGGAATCAAGTACAGTGTGTATGCAATTCTCTACTCCACCCTCCACTAAAGGTCTTAAAACAGGACACGCTTTGCTAGTATCCTCCTTTTTGAATACCAGAAGATATACATATACAGCAGGCAACATGTGCCAAAACTGCATGAAATATCCAACAGAGCGCGAAAGGCACATTTACAAATCAAACAAAGCTGGTGATATAAAATGGTAACAAAATCAACTTGTTTCTTCTCAAATGAAAATGTAATAAAGAGACAGCAAGTACCAAATTTCTGTAGTTTTATAAAGAAAAAAAATTCAAGGATAGAAGCCTAAAGGGGGTTTCCTAAATTCTGACTAGCTACCTTCTCTCATTTTTAGATTGAATTTCTTTTCTATAATGTTACTTATAAAGCACAAACAATGTAGCTCTGAAGAATTCAGCAAACAAACATATAGATATGTATATATGTAAATGATATACACTTGGGAGTGGTAACAATGTGCTCAAAACACTGCAGAAAAGTAGACACCAACAGAATAATCGTGGAGAGTCGGTTTTGCTAAACACCACATTATATCCACTTTAAAACATAAAAACATATTGGTAAGGATTAGCACACTTTTAATACAATTTGATGTTTTCAATTTAAGTATCAATCATGCCTTTTACAAACAAAAATTAAACAAGGATTCCTCTCTCATAATACAGAAGATGTGTTCTCAAACTGGCTGTGGGGGCAGGGTACATGTCCAATGCCTAAATAGCAACCTTTAGCCCACCTTCCCCACAAGAGACAGGCAAGCCCCTCCTTTATAATCTCCACCCTACCACAGCATGCTGCATTCAGTCCTCAACTTCTTCAACAGGCTGCTAATGGCACAGCTCTCCAAATCAGATATTGAACTGCTGTGTAAAGCAGATGGAGGGACTTCCCTCCTCCCCACCAAGAACATCTCCGCCCCATGGTTTAGCTACTGTGTGTTTGCTGTCCTGAAAATAAACACGTCCATTTAACTTCTATGCTTTAGACTACAGTATGAACAAGCAAAACAGGGATGCTCTACAACGTTTGGTTAAATACACCACTTAAATAACCCCATTTCTGTGTCAAGGTATTGGGCTGTCTCCTTCCCAGCTCTGCATGCCATTAACTGACCGAGTCTCTGGAAATTCTAGTTACATCGGCCCCTTGCAGCCATGTAACATGACCAGTTAATCCTGTACAGATAACCCTCACAGCATCGTAATCTTGCTTTGCAGCTCCTCTTATTGCTAATTTAGCAAGTGCCCCCCTCCCATGCACACAGACTATACATGATTGGAAATTGTATTTGTTGCTTTGTCTGCCATTAGCACTCGACCAACACATCCGGATATTTGACGATGAATATTGACTGAGATAACCAGTAACTTGAATCAAAACAAAATGCCCGAATCTCTTTATTAACGTATAATGTAAATGAAATGTAAATGAGTTGCCAAGCCGGTTATGTCCGCTGAGGTAAATTGTTGTGTCAATTATTTGAGACCTGGTCTTTTTTTCCTTTTTATTTCCCCCTCCATTTTAAATTGCAGGCTTAATGCAAAGCAAAATACCTCAGTAGAAGGAAAACAAATATGGTATTTTAATACTTTACTGGGAACACAAAGCTATTTACATTTACACAGGTATAAGTTAAAACCATGCTGTCACTTATGGGGCGCCTACTTTTTTTTCTCCCTTTCCAAATACTATCCCAAGTTACATGTTTATTTGCATACTTACACCTTAGGGGAAAGGAAGATATGTTAAGCTCTCACTAGCTAGAGCTGAAATGTTTCTCTCCTCTGCTACTAGGAAACAAAGCTACCAGGATGGGTGTTCTAGTGGCACTAAGAAATAGGGGAAAATACAAAAAGGAAGTCTCTAGATCCAGGTCATGAAGCTCTTGCATATGTGCAATAAAATGTGTGCTCCCGCTAGCGATCAGAAAAGATAATATGATTTGAGCAAAATTCTGTGGAATTTTAAAGGACTGTTTACTACTGTTTTCATAAAATAAAAAAAAAAGCTATATTTAGCAAAATTTCTGACATTGCCAGTACTAGGTTTTGCAGTTTTAAACAGGCACCATTTACTAGTCAAACATGAATGGTAACTACACACAAACAATAAAAATATGGAAAGGTAACTGGTGTACAGCATACCTCACACCTACTAGAGACTTCAAAGACTTAGTCTTTATTCACACAACAACAAGGCAGATTTTTTTTTTAAAATTTTATTGATTTTTTTAAATGCAGTACTCTTACAATAAGAAAATCATTTTGTAACACTATGTACAGAAGTTTTCTGCTTGAACCAAAAGTACAGATTATTCAGGAAATAACGACAGTGAAAAATCACAATTGAGAAGACGCTAGACGTCCATAGGAAAGAATTGAGGAATGCTTTCCTATCGGCGGTTCGAATGCGCGCGCATGCACATATTGGCTGTCAAGGCACAGCATGGCATATAATGTAAATCACAAAAATTTCACAATGTTGTACAGACCAGTAAATTTGAATTTGTGGTTAAACTAATTTTTAAGCATGTGAATGAGAAAAAAAAAAAAAGAGGACAGAAGATCTCTCGATTCTAACAAAGTATAGTGGCTATGTATTGTGAGAAAAGCAACAACAAAAAAAATGTTAACCAGTCAAAAGTTTGTTATCACAGTTCTATTATTTTTATGTGCATTATGCAAGCCAAACTGCAAGCCAATGTATGAATATAATTGTAGTTTTACATATTCTAGTATACATATTTATATATTTTATCCCATTCAAGTCACTGTGGGGATGCAGACTTAAGGAGACCCTACACATACATATAGCAATTCAGCTTGCTGAAGTGCTTTACATGTCAGGAGCATCTCTTTTTAATGACAATTTTCTAAAAGTGCTGAGGTCTGTTTGAATTCAGCACTTTTATAACCAATTGCAGAAACACCTCCCTCACTATCAGACAGCTGGGGAGGTTTGCTTCCTGATTTCTTCGGTCCACCGAGTGTGCCTTCCTTTTCCCCCCAAGTAAAAGTGTGTGTCAATGCGTGCTTGTGTGTGCTCAAAGAGCCTACTTTAACACCGCCTGCACACTCCTTGATAGACAGCTTGGAGTACTTGGACAAAAGATCGCAGGTATGCATGCATGTTTTCATTGCGAGGTACAGTATATTTAGAAATTTAAAAAAAAAAAAAAAAACACCAAGAGTGTTCCTTTAAAGTTTACAGAATAACAATCATAAATCACACTGAAAGTTGCTGAAAGTTTCATCATATGAGGGCAATGTATTGGCTCATTATAAGGAACACTGCCAACCCCATAAAACCCTCAAGCTCACTGAAATGAGTTTATGGGCATAGTCTTACCATCAAAGGTTACACCATTTTCCAAAGAAATTGGTCTTCCAGCTCTCAGTAAAAGTACGCTCTCACTAAAGGTACATTCTCACACCGTTCCTTCCATTCGCCGCTGTACAAGTGAGGCTTGCCAGGAACCGTAAAATGACACCCAGACTCCTGTCACCGTAAGAAGTTTTCATGTGTATGAGAGTGTTCCTTTAACCACTCTCCTACCAAAATACAGCATACTAAAACCCATGCTGCAGCTGTTACAATGACCGGAAGGTTGTACATAATGTCATCACCTTCAGTATCATATGCTAGCAGTGATGGTCAGATAGGGTTAGTGCAAAAGCACCCCAAAACAGCTCACAAGAATGTACAAGATGATGGTCACATGCTTTAAAAGTTAGATTTGAAGAAAGCAGACAATGGCATTTGTAAACAATAATCATTTATGCTGTGTAATCCTGACTATGGTTAATTTGTTTTGGAAGGAGCTCAACAGTAAAGGGGTTAACAATCTGCCAAAGAAGTGCTCCAATGATGGGCTGTAAAATAAATAAATTTCCACCTTTTAGTTAACCCTACACAGAATTGAATATTGCCAGAGCTGTTTACACCCAATGGTTTTCATATTTTCCCCAGGACTGAAGGAGTTAAAACTCATACTACCACAGAAGCACACGACTATGGCTTTTAAGCAGCTTATGAGATCAGCAGCAACATCCTTGTAAAAAGACAAGTGTAGGAAGTTAAGAGCTCACTGCAGAAGAGGTAGGCCCAGCCACAAACCAATGACATACGATTTCAAAATATTTCATTCACAATTCACGCTTAAAGGACCACTATAGTGCCAGGAAAACTCATTTTTTTACCTCAGGGTCACCCTCCCGCCAGGCTGGATGGAGAGGAAGGGGTTAAACTTACCTCTTTCTCCAGCACCGGGCGGGGAGCTCTCCCCCTCCTCTCCTCCTGAATGCGCATGCGCGGCAGGAGCTGCGCACGCATTCAGCCAGTCTCATGGGAAAGAATTTATAATGCTTTCCTATGGACGCTGGCTTCTTCTCACTGATTTTCACAGTGAGAAGCACGCAAGCATCTCTAGGGGCTGGATTAACCCTAACAACATAGCAGTTTCTCTGAAACTGCTATGTTTATTGAAAAAAGGGTTAACCCTAGCTGGACCTGGCACCCAGACCACTTAATTAAGCTGAAGTGGTCTGGATGCCTATAGTGGTCCTTTAATACCAGAGTAACATATGCGCGCACATACATCTCACAAAGCAAAGCTATCGCAGCCTCTCTGGTAAATAGTGTATTAAAAAGTAAACATTGTTTGAGGAACATTGTGACAAACTCAGTGAGACTGGTATGGTGTTCAGAAAGGATGGGGCTTATTCTATTATACTGAGAGGATTGTCAATCTGGTTCTCTGAAACCAAAGGAACAACATTCACAGCAATGAGGACGAGCAGGTAATATTACACTATGAGAGAACACTGGTAAAGTCTGGGTAAACTGGACTGCAAGTTTAGATTAAATAAAAGCAATCACTTGCATCATGGATCCTGAAGGTTATAAGTGAGCTGGAGAGGTTTCTACAGGCTATGAGTATGCAGCTCTTACAGCATGCACATATTCAACACTAGTGATGTCCTGAATGGTTCGCCGCGGACTCATCATTGAGTAAACTTTGACCCTGTACCTCACAGTCAGCAGACACATTCCAGCCAATCAGCAGCAGACCCTCCCTCCCAGACCCTCCCACCTCCTGGACAGCTCACTAAGAATGCAGCTTCAAAATGGATGCTGTCCAGGAGGTGGGAGGGTCTGGGAGGGAGGGTCTGCTGCTGATTGGCTGGAATGTGTCTGCTGACTGTGAGGTACAGGGTCAAAGTTTACTCAATGATGAGTCCGCGGCGAACCGTTCGGGACATCACTATTCAACACAAATATACTGTACACACATCAAATTGCAATGATAAATCCATTATATCCTAGAGAAATCATGGGAAAAAAAAAAAAAAAACTTTCACAATTTTCTCAGCTAGTGAACTGGCAGTTCACAGAGGGCTAGAGAGCAGACCCCACTCCACAGGCTATGCTGCCAAGCACCTAATTTACTCACATTACTGCTTTTAGTTAAGGTGTCTGTGCACACGTTGTTTTCTTATCAATACATCATTTAAATCTAAAAAGGCTTGTCACAGAGCGATCCACTGCCCCTCATTACTCCACTTTTTTTACACACACGATAACCTTAAGTATTCATACAGACGGTGTTGGAATTTCAATAAAATTCCAACCCAGTCAAGAGATATATAGAGACCAAGTGGGGATTACTTATATATGTCCTATGCCTGACACATTTAGACCGCCACCTACAAGTGTCAATCTCACTGCTGCAGAGATATTTGCTATATCTCGCAGGATTCTCCATAAACCTCAATGTCGTACTCTTGCGCATTTACGAGAGATCACCAGTGACATCAGCTCCCAGCAATTAAGCTCCAAGAGGAGAAGTAGACCTGCCAGAAGAAGATGGCGGAACCCAGAAGGAACAGGTTCAGGTAAGTAAATCTTACCTTCTCCTCCCCCCTCCCTACAACCACTAGAAGCATTGTAACCGCCGGGGTCTTTGCAAATTATACATGGTCCCCAGACAGTGACAGGGACACTGATATTGTGTATGTTTAACATACATTTGTGAGTTAAAAACATACTCTGAACCCCAGGTAAATATGTGTACATTTCAAATGGCTCTGCCATTCATCAACATATTCTATGGAAGGGTCAGTTATCCAATATATTTTTACCATACAATTTAGAAGTCAGCTTCAGTACTTTACATTGCTGTTAGATAACCTGTTCCTGCCACTGAATGAGCAGAGGGACTGACTAATACTGGGAGGGGTATCTATGTGAATGGATAGCCACTAGCTACACATTAGCAACTTCTCAACTTTTTCTTATTTTAAATGTGGTTGCGAAATAATTTAAAGAAAGGTTTCTGAATACAAAGCAGTTACAAAAATCTAAGTTACTAACCCCATTGGTGAGAACATTTTTAAAAGTATGGGGAGCTTTGTTGCAGAAGGACTTGACAAATTATAGATGGGTTCTAGGTTACTAACAAATGTAACCCTAGTGTCAAACTCAATTTGCAAAACACCTTGTTGCTCATTGTAAACATTTGGAGAGCAGGACAGATACTGTTCTCTGTAAAACTGTCAAACATCATAGCTTTCCTCTGATCACAGAGCTTAGCTAGAGATTTTCAGGTAACATGATTGGTTTATAATGTGGCTGTATGCTGATTGACACTGTAGAAGTTATAGGGACTCCATATGGGAGTTCGATGCAATATTATATATTTCCATTTTTCTCATCAATAAGTCTTCTCCAGTCCAATTCAGTATAATGCTACGTTTCACAACACAAAATAGCTTTGATCACCTAAGGAAACTTGATATCTTACAGAGATGAGTCTGCAATTTCTTTCCTCTGTGTGCAAGCTAACTGCCTTCATAGCAAACAGACATGTAACACTGAACATTTCATGAATACCAAAAACAACTTGCCTTGACTCCCCTTTGAAAACTCATTTATAAAATAAAGCTGCACATGCATGTTTTATATGGAATTCCTATACAAGGAATGAGCAGGTGACAGCCATCCAGCTGTTAAAGGGTCAGTTTACATGGACAAGTCACCCAGCCCTTGCTCGTGTCATTAAAACACTGGTGTTTATTATGCACAGAGCAAAGCAGAGTTGCAATGTATCCACGTAATGCTCTAATGACACCAACGTTAAAACTCGCGTATGATGATGACATTCATCACGAGTGTTTGGACCTGAGTCTCAATCATGAAAATCAGCTCTCTAGGTTAAAAAGTAGGACATACAGTGTAAGCAGTGTGCCTGATCTTAAATGGTTAAAATTTGACTGGCTGTCCTAATATAAAGATAAGCTCTTTATTAACAGACAAGATTATTCACAAAACATTAAGAATTTTAATTAATTTTGAATGACAAAACTAAAGTAAAAATAGCTGATTTGAACAAATACTCCAACACTGCTATAGTCACAGCTTGGCTATTTTTGCCTCAGTTATGTCACTCAGAATTGGAATTCATTCTCAAACATTTGGTGTTAAGTGAAATAATCCACAGAGATGGTTTAAAAAAAAAAGTATTTCCCCTAATAGATTCAATTACATAATACTGCCATTAACTAACCAACTGGGCAATATACATAGATTTGAAGCTGTATTATTATGCAGTAGAAAATATGGGTTTCTTCCTTACATAAACCACCTATCTAAAGTCAAATGTGTGCAGCATATGCTAACAGTGTCTGACCCATCGCAGTACATTCTTACAAAATGAAGCAGATTATGTATTTATAAGAGCCTCACACATGCAACTCATGCAAAAATACCAGTTAGTAAGAAGAAAACACATTTTGGAAAATAATGTAATTTGTGTATGCAAAATATGAAAACCATATGCCCAGAGCGATTAATTAATTTCATGCAGCAAAATTAATGATCACCCATTTTTCCAGACAAAATATAATAAAGGTACAGTTACCTCTGATTCTGTACATGGTGCAAAAGTCTGCCATCTGCCACTGTAGAGTTCAGCTTGCTCAGCTGACTTGCAGCCACTTAGTAACACCCAAAGTACAGGATCAGCTTTGCTCCAGTGTTTTCTACTACTGATATGAAGCTGTGGACTTGTAATGACTTTCTGAGCACTTTTTTCCTACCAGGAGCAAACTGTCTGCCACACAAGTAGAATTTCCAAATGTTAATGGGGGGAGGGTAACAAACCCATTATCTTCAACTCTATACAAACCAGCTGAAACTTAGTGATCACTTGCTGCTAAAGGCAGAACTTGTTCCACTAATAAAAATGCATTAGGAAGTTAGTAAACAAATACAATTCAATTCACCCATTCAGACGTAAAAAAGAAAAACAAGAAACCCAATCATTTGAAAGTTTTACCTCAATTTCATTTTACTGAACAGATGCTTTAATAGTACTGTAATCCTTTTAGAAAGTGTATAATTTTTAACGTAACATTAAAGAAAAATATCGAAGATAGACTCCCAAAGGGTCTGTTAGCTAATGACATTTGAGTGGTCAAATTTGGCAGTTTCCAACTCATCCAAAAGACATACATGAGACAAAGTAAGAATTATCTAGCCTTGTGTAACTGCTAATCCTTGACAAAATGCAGTTTATATGCTGCCATGTCATCTTATGTGAAAATACATAATTTTGGGCAATGCTCACATACATATGAAACCTTACAGTACATAAATTATTCATGGATGATCCCAGAGGCTTGCAGGATCCCCTATTGAGCCTGTTTTGGATGTTGGTGCATGCCGTAACAGCTACTGGCAAATCAAGTCACCAGACGCCAAAGTATGACAGCAAGAAGATGAACAGCTTAAAAGCAAGTATGCCTCCATATTCGCACCCCTTTAGCCACCTCCACACAAGTATACAATAAAATGTGAAGACTCCGCGAAAGAGTCGCTTGAAAGTTTGCAAAGTGAAACCCATTCAGTTATTCACAAATTGGTAATTTTAGTATTTCAATTGTATTTTCACTTCCATATTTATGCCAATCCATTAGCTTGTTAACATAAGCAGAATCTCTGTGACATGTGCTACTTTTACTATTCACAAACAGCTGCAACCAAACCTTTCATTTATTTAAATTCCCATGAACTTGGGAACTGCACCTATAGCTCTGAGCAACTTCATACAACACTTAACCTAACTCCAAACCACCACCCTATTAAAAAAAAAAAAAAAACACACACACCAGCACCTAGATTCACCCCTAAACCCTACTCTAACCTCAGACACAATTTTGTCTTACAGTTGGGTAATTTGGTCTGAGTTTCACATGAAGATTTTTCCAAATTAATCTCACAGCTGCAAAAAGATGCAGTTACAGTTTTGGCTTGTGTAGTAGTTTAAAAAAAAAAAAATCCTGCAAAGTAAAGAGAACCAAATTAAATGAAACTTACTGAATATGCTATAGTAAATTCTGAGTATAGCCCCCCAAATTGGAGTCGTACAAATATTTTAAATAAACAAAGACTGAAGCAAATACTTAGCACACCATCTACTGGGGGACAGACAACACGAGTTGATGAGAAGTGTTGGTGTTTTGACACATACTGGTTGTGTGCTCCTTCTTATGTCTTTATGTACACAGTTTGGTGGTACAACATTAAATTTATGCCAAAGAAAATACTCTTCAAACCGTAATATTGCTGTCGAAGAACACCAATAAAAATGGAAAACATTGCACTTACAATAGTTGTGGATTAAACTTTAAGATGGGAAAAAAGCATTTTTGGGGGGGATATCCCATCAAGACTCAAGTCTTCAGTTCAAAAGTAATGGACTAAACCATGCTGGCAACGAATGCATAATTAGAATGTAGATAAGCATATAATTCAAATTTGTCAGTCTGTTACTCTACTCCCTACATGAACACCAATTAAAAATATACACACACATATAACATGTGCAGATACATGTGGTACCTCACATACTCCTCAATAAAAGCAAAAGGAACGTCGATAAGAACTAGAATATAAACTGCTATTGCTGGAATATGATTGTGTTTGACACCCTGTACATATGTGAAACTGTTTAATTGTAGATCACTTAATCTAACATTGCTGATGTTTAAATGTGGCCCACGCTGGGAGATTACAGCATGTGCCTTACACTTTTAACACTCTCACAACTATATGCCTGACCTAGCTCATGAGCCCACCATACGATCCAAAGATTTATGTTCACCCACAATGCCCCTCTCGGTCACACTGCCTCTTATAGCCAGAGAGAGGCAGCGTGGACTATTTTTATCAGCGAGGTGAGAGTGCAGGCCTGCAGCTCACAGTGCCAGCGAAGCATGGGAGACCAGCCAAGGCCTAATCAGCCACAAGGCGCTGCAAGATCCCAATTGATGGGAGGGGGAAAGTTTACTCTCAGGGCTGTTATTGGCAAGGCGCAGGCATGGTATGGTATTAAAATAGGCATTGGGCAACTTTGTCGGATCTGCAGAGCTCACATGGCGAGGAGGAGCCACGAGGGCTGAGGAGGAAGTGGGAGCTAGCAATGTGTTACTGGAGCTTGTGCTTAATGGTCAAGGAGTTGGGAGGAATTTTCCAAACAAGTCTCTTTAGATTGAGAACATGGCACACACAGGGGCACAAAGTGCCCAACTACAACGTGCGAAAAGTGCTGCAAGGACTCTCAGGCCTAAAGGCAACCCACGTTGCCTGTATGGGGAATGCTGGGTAGTGGAAGGACTGATGTGGGCGGGGTTTATCCACAAATGGAACGTTGAACTAAGGACGTTCTGAAATGGAACATTTGGACTTGCGCTTTTCGTTAACCCTCTACGAAGATCGGCTGCTGTTTAAAATTCACAGCACACGAAGCCATTCCAATATAGGGGTGTCTGAGCCCGATATGGTTCTCCTCCGGCAGGACAGACTGCAGTGTCATCAAAGGGTGTACTAGGGATTACTACACACCCAACCCCCTCTAGATCGCGCCCCCCCTTCCCGATTTCACCCGTGACACAAGCCTGATAGTGGGAGCTCACAAGTGACTTAAGAACCCCCCCCCCAAAAAAAATTTTTTTTTTTTTTAAAATGAAGGGAACCGCACCCCCTAACATGCCACCTTTAAGACAAATCCAAAAGGCACATGGTCGACGAAACCAGTCATCATACTGTGAAGGACACTCCCAACACTGTCTGCAAACACCCCACTGTCTAGAGACACGAAACCGTAAGGCATGATTGGCATGGGCACCCCTAAACTACTAATATCGGCTCGCTTTAAAAGCAGCTGCTTTAGACAGCCACAAATTGGTCACCCCAACATTATATCGCTCGTTTACAGGGAACAGTAACAGATGTCTCCTACAACTTAAAGCCCCGGTAACAGATGGGGGAGACCGGGGGTTGTTTGGGTGTTATAATGCATTGCAGAGAGATAGCACCCCAAAACCAATCCATGCTTCATTTAAACCCACTGAGTAGGAATAGCTCAGAGCGTGGGGCACAATCCCGCTTTGACCTTTGAACAGGTGAACCCATGTCCTCTCCCCCCACCCCCGTCCATGCCCGGTGCATGCTCGCACAGGGGGGCACTTACCTAGCGGTAGCTGTCCATTCACCGGCCCGCCATGGCCTCCGCTTGACTTGATCCAGGGGTTCACCTTAGGTGGGGGAGCCTCCACGAACTCCCTGCGGCCTTCCTCGCCCTCCTGGCACACAGCCTCCTCCTTGGCCAGCTTGACCCCGTCCGCCACTACCACCTCCTCCTCCTCATGCTGCTGCAGGGGCGGCAGCGGGTTCGCGGGCAGCAGCGGAGCCTCCACCTGGGTAGCCATGTCCCGGTCCCCCCCGTGGGGACAAGGTGTCCGGCCCGGGCTCCCCTGTGACCGAGCTCCGCAGACAGAAGGCGAGGCCGGCGAGTAACGCGGGGTAGGTCGGCGTTTAGTAACCGGGCGGCTTCCCGAGCTCACCGCTGCAATATGGAAGCCAGAGAAGACCACGCGATGGAGCTGCACGGTGTGCGCGCACTGAGACACGCTGACGGGCGCGCTCCCGAGAGGGGCTGGGGGAGCGTAATGCGGCGGAGGGGGCGGGGGAGCAGGAGAACTCATTCTCAACTTCATCCTGTGCAATGCTAACACTATGGAACACCCAGTGCTAACACTATGAACTCAAAGGGAGTTACACTGTAAGGGCGGAGTAGTTGGGAGCTGCGATATGTCGACCTTAAATTTGAAATTCACTTTGAATTCTCGCTGAATAGCCCTGGTATCCCATAGTATGTCAGTAGCCATAGTTTACTTAGTGTGAGACATAGCGCATGTGCGGTGAGTGCTTCGAGCGGATTAGGCCCTACCCATAGGAAATTATTGAATCAATGCTTTCTTATGGGGTTTTCACTGGCGCTGGATGTTCTCATGTAAAGGAGAGGACGTCCAGTGTCGTTGGAAGTGCCTCTAGTGGCAGACAGCCTAAGTCCTGCAATGTAAAGATTTTGAGAAACTGCGATGTTTTACATTGCCAGGACTAAGTTGGACAGGGTCACTGCACCCAGACCACTTCATTGAGATGAAGTCTGGGTGCGCATAGTGTCCCTTTAACATTAACACTAGTTTCATTCAATAACAAACACTAAAAACCCTATTTAATAGCCAAAAGTTTAATCTTTCTTTCAATATGCAATTTAAGGTCACATAATATCCACTCTTACCAAGCCCCTCGCCTCATGTTTGCAATACTGAATACAGAACCTACATTTGAAAGTTGAAATGCAGAAGCAATAAGTTCTATCCATATCACTAAGTGACCCATAATCCCCTCATCACTCTCTGCCCATTATTATTATTATCAGTATTCACATAGCACCAACATATTCTGGAGCGCTTTACAAATGTAGAAATGTGTATTCTGCCACAGTCAGTCTAGTGGAATTGTAATAAAGTACCAATGTATAAAGAGTGGCATAACATTGTTACTGTCATACATTGAAGATTATGTTGCAAAATAAAAATGCGTCTGTCAAGATTAGTTATGCAGTTCTTATTTATTTATAAAAAATTTTTTGCCAGGATGGATACATTGAGATTTCTCTCATTTTCAAGTATGTCCTGGGTCCACAAAACATTTCATTGTTACAATAGGATACAATATTACAAAAATATAATATACAAACTAAATATACACGCATATATAAATTTAACACATAACTGGTGATAATATATTCAACCATGACTGATGGATAGAGTTGCTATTGAGAGACTAAGCAGCAACATTTGAGGTATTTCCTGGTATAGACATCTCAGACATGCTCTAAAAGGATTTCTGACATTTTTGAATTTGGCCAACAGAGTCTGGGCCCCTTAAAACACAGACTTGAATATCCTGTCTCTTCAGGCTTTCTGTGGATAACAGTACCAGTGTGTGGAGTTGAACAGGAGCTGGACTCATTTAAAGTCATTGTTTTTCATTTATGGTGTTGAAGAGGGATGATGTCTCATTGAGTTATGAGTTGAGTACATGGGGTGAAGTTGAAAGAGTCCAACAAATCATCCACTGAGTCAAATTCTAGGAATAGGGTCTAGTAATCTTTAGACTTCTCCAGCCACCACTGCCCCAACCCCATAACCACCATTATCCCATCATCATAATCCCTCAATATCCAATTCCTATAACCACTTCATTTCCCATACCAATTCACATTATCCCATATCCCCATCATCAGATCCCACCACAACCATCCACACCTCCTATAAAATCCCCTCATCACCTAAAATCACATTACCGCTAACCCCATACTGCCCTATTCCTTAATCCCCTCATTGCCTGCTGCTCTATTGCCACTTAGTTGCAAAGCCACAATTCCCATACCCAGAGTCCCTTCGTGTTCTCATCTTTCACAGCCCAAATCACTTTAATGCAACTAAAATAGTACCCTCATCTCCCCACTTAAACCACATCAAATCTTTTGGCATTTCCATCTTTACAGACCAGCACTCAATGTCACAATATATGTGAAATTGTGCCAGAGAGGCAGAAGGTGGTAATTATAGCAATATCTGCCTGTTTGCTCCATCATGCCACCCTTCTCACTGCAAAGGGGGAGTGACCGGCTACGTGGTCAAATACGCTGAATGGATTGCTGGCACAGGTGCACAGAGTCCACATTGGCTTTGGGAATGCCTTAGTGTACCAGTCTATGCACCAATGTTGCTCACTACATTTTCCTTTGCAGTTGAGGCATCAGTTTTCTATATTCAGTTTTCATTTCACAACAATCCAATGAGACTGATTTATTGAACTGAAAATTAAATAGCAAAATAAAAGATTTGTAGAAGTTCTACAATTCCTATTTAATCATAGTCTGGCTATTTTAGCTTGACATTTGCAAAAATGTATTTCCGTTCACCACAATTCACTTCTTAGTGGAAAAGCTTACTTTAGTTTCACTAATATTCTGTTTGCACTTCTTCATATTTTTCTTACGTTAAATATTTTTAGCTGTGTTTACCTTTTACCTTTACCAAGTGAGATGCACATATACCTGGAAGAAAATATATGCCTTTTTCTTCCTTCATTTTTATTTGAAAGAAATTATTTAAATTCAATTAACGTGTATAGATTTTTTTAATATACTGCATATACACAGGAACACTGGGGGTGGGCTTTAAGGGCTGAAACTCTGGATATGGAACTTTCCAGTCTGGGATAATTGTAGGCAGAGGTGGAATGGAGACAGCAGAGTATTAATGTTTGGGGGTTTTTATTTTGGTTTCCAAAGCAGCTACCCAATGTAAAATCAAAAGCATTAGCCTGACTTCTGATCATCTTAACTGATCTTGTAAACAAAGACTGGAATTTTCTGCAATTTTCCAAGCTAATGAATCTATGTGCTCTTTCATGGGGTTTATTGTGGGGAGCTGCGGGCAGACATGGAGATCTGGCCTTGCAGCTTCACTGTAATACATAGAAAGCAGTGTGTGTCTCTTGCAAATTCAAGTTGCTCTCCATGCTTCATCCAGTGTGCTGCCACATAAAAAGTGGCATATCTTGCCTGACACTATTTCATTCACTTGTACATATCTGAAGGGAGCAAGTTCACTGCTGTGTGCATTCAGGAGGCACATAAGGCTCACTTGCCATCCTGGACCAATATGGATGAGTTTCTGAAATTTAGTAGAAATGGAGCACTGGAAGAGGGAGAGACAGGCAAAAATGTTTAACATAACAGAGAAGGAATATAGGATTGACATTGGAGGGAAAACAGTAAGGACAGGTGCTTGTTCCCGTGGAACATACAGGAATTGATGGTAGATAAAAAGTGGAAGAAGATTTTTTTTAAAACGATTCAGCGGAGGGTGGAGAAATTTTTAAAAGTAGGAAATTAAGACTGGCAAAGAGATTGAGAGAAGGCGGAAGGCGTGGGGGAGTGACAGATATTTTTGTAGAAAGTTAGGGGAGATTGAGGATAAAGAATGAAAAGAGTGATAAAGAAAAGATAGGAAGAAGAGACTAGTGAAAGAAGGATGGATAAGAGATAGGGAGTAAAACATTTTGGGAACAAAGATTAGGGAATTGATATATACTGTAGGTTAAAAACTGGTGGATAAAAACAATGAAACTGACATTTTATTATTTCTATACCCAGGACTTAAAATTGTAAGTCCTATGTTACAAAACCAGGTCTTACTCGCTAGTGGTGAGTGGGAATTTTTAGCCCTGCTAAACTGCATCATAATTCAAATATGATTAAACCTTTTTATTCCATCCTCCAGATCAACTGCATCTCACCTAAATGGGATATAGTCAGTGCTTATATAAAATAATTACATATTAAATCTGTATTATAATACAAAAATACATTTTCATATACCACATCCATGCATTATACCGTATACACACACACACATTAGCCATGTTCAGGTGCATATGATTTTATATAGGCCTGCCATGTTTGGTAATCTCCAGTTAACATTGCAAAAATATAACTTGTGTGTATATGGGTTCTTACTTTCTTGGAGGGCTTTTCAGGATGGCCCAGAGATAGCTTGGTTACCTAGATGTTTATTAAGCTACAGCAGGCTTTGGTGTTTCCTACAACACTAATGGATGCTTTTATTTTTTTCTCACTTATTTCCCCTGTTTATTTAAAGGAGCAAGACGTTGGTAAAATAACCCCCAGGTGGTGGGACACAGATCCCAGATTGGGGTCTGTATCACAGAACCTAAGGCATTTGGAAAGAATGCATATGAAAGTGGAGATGGTTTCTCATGTTCTGTTGGAGCTTTGTGCACTACTTTTAAATCCAAACCCATCAGGCCCTTAAATATGCCAGTTATCATCCTGAAAGACGGCAACAAAACTAAATTACAAGGTAGTATGAGAAGGTTTGTGACCCAAGAAATTAACTCTGCAGACTGAAGTGTGACTTGCTGGGAATACACAGTAAATCTAAAATGGCTCTGTCACTTTTTTTATTTTTATTTTTTTTGCATGTCCAAAATTCCCACTGGGTTTTTCCTGTATTTTCTACTTATGTATTATTATTATTATGATATTTATATAGCGCCATGTATAACTTGCAGGTTGATCTTTACTCACATCCCTCTCTAGAACTGGGTCAATTCCAGGAGCAGCACATCATAGATCTTCAGTGTTGACTCTCGGCAATAGTGGGGAACATTTGTTGTACAAGGCATGCTCATGATTTCATCCACACACCCTAGGAAGGGCAGAAGATGGGAATTATGTTAGCTGCCATCTTAGAAAAGCAGGGTCTTCTTTCATGGCAGGACTGGTAAAATGTTAAAAAAAAGTTATTTGCACTGGTGCCTGGATCAATAAATATCAGAGGCCTAGAAGTGAGGGATTCCTAGGCTGGGGCCCAGTGGACTAATTTGGTGACAGATCTGCTTTAAAATATTAGGGTCAAACAGCCAAAACTAAAAACAGCTGCCTTGGAGAATTTTTCAAATTGTTTTTGGTCTACAATTTTCTTTAAACTGTATAAATTTATTTCGAACTACATTCAATTCACACTTTAGTGAATATCCCTGAC